ATCAGTCGGTGCTGGAGGAGGGCGAAAAATATGCGCGACGTCTCCAGTTGGTGGCGGAGATTCAAAAACAAAATGAAAAAGTGGAAAGTGAAGGTATGAAGGCATTTTCATTTTAAAAAGTATTAATTATGAAACTTCAGATACCAATACCTCCAATAAGCCAGGCCCTCAAGAAGAAGAAGACCAGAAAGAGGAACCACAGGAAGATGGAAAAAAAGACTAGAAGGCCAGATAGTCACTGCCAACGACGCCAACGAGATCTGACGGGTTTTTTGACAGGTTTTCCCCCAATAAAACCTGTTACTCTTTCTTGGTACTGAGCCTCTACGCGGCGGAAGAGATCAACAGACGCAAGTCTGGCTAATACAGTACCATTCTGACAACTTCACTGAAAAGATGTCTTACTATTATTCAGATCTTTCCAGAATTCCTTCTGCATGGAATTCGGAAAGTTTCTTTTTGATTCTTCTGAGTATTCATCCCCCTCACCTCTTTTCCTCACTTCTTCTCTTATTCAGAATCTTCTAAAAGTCCTAAATGGATTTTGGATTTTTCTCTTCTTTTTGCCACTACCCCCGAGGTCAAGAAAGCTCCAAAGAAGACCATTCGTTCGGACATCATGACCAGAAAGGAGCTCATCTACGTCAGAAGTCGTCTCCAACCATGGGTCTTCTCCTCACAAGCTCACCATGAAGAAGAAGAAGAAGGCTCCACCGGGAAAACCAGGCAGAAAACCGGAAACGATTCAGGACAAAGGGCCCAAAAAGCATGACTTCAATTTGCCGTATCTAGCTTCGGAGTGAGTTTTTGACAATTTCCTAGAGTCTCGAGCTCAGCTTTCAGTTTACCGATCACTTTGAAAACTTTGAAGTTTTAATTATAAAATAGACAACATTTCCTACAATTCTGTCAAAAACCAACTTTCTAGCTATATTAGAAAACGAGATACGGTCATTTGAAATTTTCGAGGGGTTAGCGACTCAGCGTGTCTCGTCGTCTGGCACCTCTAGCCTGTGGAATTTTAAATGGCTCTATCTCTGTCCCTAGAAGGGCTGAAAATTTGATTTTCAGACAGAGTTGTGGTAAATGTTGTCTATTTATTAGTTAGAGTGATCGGAAACTTGAAAACTGAGCTCCAGAATCCTGAAAAATAGCCGAACATCAACTGAAAATAGATCTTATTGACGTATGCTGTATTTTAAACTGAATTCGATATGACAACGTGGTACGAAAGCTTACAAGTTTGTCGGAATTAACCTTATACCAGATACGACGATCTCACTTCGGCCATTTTCCTCGTGATGTGGCTCGTACCTCTCAACCCGTTCGGCGATCAAGATGATGGGCATCTAATGAGAAAAGCACAATTTGTGAAGGGAATTGCTTTGTCTTGAATTAGGCTATTACTATGTTCGTTTTTAAGCTATTGGTTTGACGTTTCATTTTTTATGTATACGAGCAGCTCGAGGACTACTGGTTTTACGGTGTTTTCAATTTTAAAAATGTATTCTCAAATTTCTTTTCCCCACTGTTTTTCAGAACTGTATCCATCCAACCTTGGCTCATTGAACTCCGACATTTTCCCTGTTCTTTTATATTTCTTGTTTTTTCAAATTTTCAAATTTTCTCTCATTTTCTTACATCAATTTCCTTTTAACTTTCAATCTTTAACTTTCAGAATCTTCTCTCCATTTGTTCCTCTTTCTGGTACATTTCAATATCCCTCTCCCAAATACTGAAGGTTGTCGCACCTCACCTGCAAATTATATTTTTCTACAGTTTTAGTAAGTTCTTACGCGTTGTATTCGAGGACACTTAAAAATCTCTGACTTAGTAAAAATTGATTTTTTTTGTGCTTAACATGCATCTTCATTGAAAAATTATTCGAAAGTGTTGGGAGAAAGATGTAGCTTGTAGCTAAAAAATTGAAAATGAAAGAGCATGTTAGCACAATACGTAGATGCGGAACAGGCATTAAAATTGGTGGTCACTTGGGATCATGGATCTTGGATGGGATGGTGGGAACACGTAAAGTTCTTGAGCTAAATAATAGAAAAAAATGAGCATTTCAGCACAATACAACGATGCGGGGAACAGACATTAAAAATGATTGGCACATGAGATGAGAGAGTCATGGATGGGATGGTGGGAACATGTAAAGTTTCTAAGTGACTCATAAAAAGTGTTCAAGTAGATATTAATAAAAGTGGGCCTGCTTCGCGAACAGGATGATATCCTCTCTGTTTCTGTACAGCCATGCCGGATATTGGAAGTGAGCTGGCTCAAATCGCACCATGCGGCAATAACTGAAGACCATGTTGCATCCAGGGCACATTCCGTAAGTGTTCAAGTCGAAATTTGTTACGTTCCACGGAATCAATGGAAGCACGAGCTCATAGAATTTGGGGGAGAGTTTAAAATCATATTTCCAGTCCTTGTTGTACACTTCGGCGATAGGCAAGCCTTGAGCGCGAACCTAAACTTATACATGATAAAGAAATGCGAATATATTTTGCAAAACTCACGCCTGAGAAGCAGGTCAGAACTTGATTGATTGTAAGGTGGAACTTCTGGGCCAACAAATTCTGAACAACTTTAGCCAGAATCAAACATTCCTCTGGAGCGGTGAGTCTTCTTTCAGGGACATCGATCCAAAATGCATCAGCAAGGAGGCGGGTATTATCCTGGAAAAAAGCAATGTTAGCAGCATTATACTGACGAACGCAAAGCCACGATGCTTTCTTTTGCAATCTCATCATTTCAAACAAAAAGTTATTGCGTGAACGCTACCTCAAACATTTCACAGACTATCGAAGTAACACTATTGAAGTGACAATCTAAGCCTTTAAAACTATGTATTTGGATTTTTTCTCAACAAACTAACCTCTGGCATAGATTCAGCTTCGATGAAACAAACTGTCCACAAGTTGATCCACTGACGGAATCGCGCAGGCATCCTCACTCCGATAAGTGCGCATTGGTATTGAAGTCTTTGCCAAATATCCACGCGGCTGTCCATTACAAACGCCGACTTAACGCCAACCAATTGATTCGATTCGAGCCAATTAGAAAATTTCTCATTTACAATGCGGAAGCTCCTGGCATTGTTAACATTCTCTTGCGTGACACCTGAAATTTTAAGATAGATCTTAATGATTATTTGAAAGGTTACAAACCTGTGGTCTTGACACAATTTTCAGTGAGCTTCGAGTTTATAACTGGCATAACATACTCGTTGAACATCATGTTCTCTCTCTGAAATATCATTTCATAAATCAAAATTAAGAATTCTCAACTCACGATAGCATTGTTTTTAACGTCGACAACGACGGCGCTGATTTGAATGACTTCGCTGGGGAAATCATAGTTCTTCTCTTGTGATGTGGTTTTGACCTTCAAAATAACAAGGTTCTGGAATGGGGTGGACGGTTGATGGATCATTCTACCTGAAATTGTAACATTTTTCAAGCAAATTGGGAAAAAGAATATATATCAAAGAAATTTTAAAGATAAAATGAAGAACCAATTCAGAAAAACGACGCGAGGAGAGAAAGAAAAAAAAGGAAATGTAGAGCTAGTCAGGAAATGATTCCGAATGACTCATCGAAGATGCGTGCGTGTTGTTGTTACCATTATACACCACATCTGCCGACAATTGCAGACACCTCGCCTTGGCGGGTCGGTCCGCAATGTGGCGTCGGGTGTGGTGCATAAAAACAACAACAACACAGACGCATCCTCGCTTACTAGGAGAAGAAACAATATTGGGAGTGTAAATTTAAAAAAAATTTTATAATTCGAAAACTGAAAACATTCCATTGTCAAACTTGTATTCGGTTTTCGCAGGAGACGAATCAAAAAGAAGACAAAAAGTTGTTCTGTTTTGTAACATTTTACAAGAAAGGAGGAAAAAATATATCAAAGAAATTTTGAAGATAAAATGAAAAACCGAATCAGAAAAAACAACATGAGAAAAAAGAGGAAATGTAGAGCTAGTTATGAAATCATTCCGAATGACTCATCGAAGATGCGTGCGTGTTGTTGTTACCATTATACACCACATCTGACGACAATTGCAGACACTTCGCCTTGGCGGGGTGGTCCGCAATGTGGCGTCGGGCGTGGTGCCTAAACAACAACAACACAGACGCATCCTTGCTTACTAGGAGAAGAAACAATATTGGGAGTGTAAATTTGGGAAATTTTCATCATTCGAAAACAGAAAACATGCTCTTTTCAAATTTGTATTCTGTTTTCGCAGGAGACAAATGAAAAATAAGACAAAAAGACAAATTAACTTACAATGCGGGTAGTTAGATTATGGCAACAGTGTCGGTTTGATGAGATTCAGAAGATGAATGCGCATTGTCGGACCAGAAGCTAAAACAGCGAACGACTAATTTTGGGGTACGGTATCAAAGCCGCGTGCATTAATTCAGAATTCTCTTGCTGTTTTTACTGCTGGACCGACAATGCGCTTTAAAAAACTAAATCCAATGTTTATCGTCGACGGACAAGAATAGTAGCCGCCAAGCACGTCCATCAGGATGCTATAGCAATTGCTCGATAGTAGCTGCGTCTTCGAAACGCGGACTGCTTAACGCACTTGACAAAAACAGAAATATGAACAAATAATTAAATTTCAGGGTTCGGAGGACGCCATCAAACCCTGATGTGTACTACGACGTTCTGGAGTTGCTCGAACATCTCGATGTTTACGAGTTCTTTGAGTCATTCAAAGTATGCGACTGCTACAAGCCTCAGAAGGCATTAATTGTGATTAGGGTATGCTGGATTTTCTACTGGCTTGAATGACTTTCTTATTATGTTTGTCGAAACAAAATTTTTCATTTTCAATGACTGACAATTTTCAGAGGCAATATGAGGAGCAAATCTTGAGAGAAACATACTAGGAAAGAAATGAGAGGGGATCATGAATTTTGAAAACCGGTGAATTGAGAGCGAATTATTAATATTGGAAAAATGGGAGGACATGGAATATTGTGAGAAATTGAAGAATTTGAGCTAGACAGAAAATGTCTAAAAAATATATTGACTGTTGGAATGAAACCATTAGGCCTAGAATGTGAGATGGAGCTTTAAAATGATATTTTCACAAGAAAATATCAATTTTTGAATTGTTGCAGTTGCTTAGAAAGAACCAGAATAGAATTTGCTATTTCTGAAGTCGTGGCATCGTTGCTGTTGAGAAAAGTGGCTTGAACAGATATGGAGAAGCGATGGAAGGAGGGCCGTGCTCACTAATACTGTAAGAAAAATTATAATCCCAGATTTTAATGAACAATTTACCTTTCTCTTTTTAGCGGGGCTTGATGGTCCGGATAGGTCTGACGGTCCTCGTTTCCTGGAAGATGATGTTTGGTCGGCTGACGAGGATGGTCCCGGTTGGTTGTACGATGAGGTTGACGGCGCCGCGATGGTTCACGTATCTTTCTCCCTTGTCTCCCCAGTACTCGATTCATACTGCATGTGATCATTTCTGCAATAATTGTTTTTTAGGCTAACATCTCCTATGGTTAGACTCTTTTACCTATCCCCTGGTTTAGTGGAAAATAGGAATTTCAGTGTCTCTTCAGAGTACCCGTACGGGAAAAACACTTCTTCATCCTTCCTGATATCCTGATCAGCAACAAAACCCACTCGTGGCTCTCCTTTCGACATCCTGAAGATTGTGGTGAGATTCGGAGTGTTCGAGTGGTTTATGAAGCGCGTCTCGTTTCCGGCTTTTGCGGAATCAAGTGCCCCTATGGCATACGGCAGATCTGGAAACTATTTGTTAAAATTGTAATTTTTAATGATATGAACTAACGGTAAACATAGCTGGTGCCATAATGATAAACCTGCCCTCTTCTATCCGCTTGATCATCGGTTATCTGCTCTCCCGTGTATTCTCCAACGATCTCGCCTTTCTTGATGTCCCTCTTCGCCATCCTGCTCCGAGTACTTTTGACTTTTGAATTTTTAAAAGAGTTTCTATTGCACGCTGAAACGTGTGGTTTCCACATCTCCGATCCATAGGAACGTTTCCTGAAATTTAAAGATTAAATTGAAGGATTATGACTTGGGACAACTCACTATCATTCTCGTGGTCCAAGCATCTGTGACATAGGCCTTCTTCGCACTCATTCCTTTGTTGGATACACTGGCAGTCTTCCGTTTGACACTGTCCCGGTGCACAATCACATCCTGGGAAGCGATGTGAGCAGTCGATGTCGCATTCGCATCGAGGCGAGCAATAATCTTTGCACACACAATCTTTGGCAAAAGGTCCGCATCGACCAAAGTGGGAGCATGGAACAGATACCGGTTCATGGTCCACTTCCTTGCTAAGATCATTCCGAAGAGCCTTGATTTCTCTTTTTGATTTTTTATTTTCTCTTGCAATTCTAGTCTCTCTGTAGTGGCGAAAATATCTTTTCTTATCTTTTTTCTTCTGATGCTTCTGTCCAGCAAATATGAATTTTTTGAATAGGATTTTGAATGGTCTGAAAAATGTTTTTTGTGAGATGACAGTTGTTTGGATTATTCTTTAATTTGGGCTGAAAACATTCAAAAAGTGAGCTACCGTATTTTCTCTAATAGAAGCTTGCCTAAATCGTCAATATTGGAAATATTATGTTGAATAATGCATCAGTTGACAAAATTTTGATATCTGTTACAGAAACCGCGATAAATGAGCTCAAATTGGCAGTTTGGCTATGCTTTTACTAGTGGAAATACGTTATCTAGCAAACTAGAATCAAAGAAAAATTTAAATAAGAACTTACGTGGTGGGTTGAACTTGACTCGGTGGTGCTTGGCTTGAAAGGGCAAGATTGGAGAAGATGCTTGTATACTGCTTTGCAAGACAATATACCATATCCATGTTCTCTGGCCACCTCGCACAGATTCGCTACTGTTGTCGTCTTGAAAAGGATTGGTAAGAAGCCTTTCAGGGGTCCAGTGCCCGGCAGTCCATTTTTTCCGTAATAGATGCTTAAGATATTAGCTGGATTCTGGAACTTGGCTGGCAAGGATTCTTTGTGATAACAAGTTTGGCTGCATTGATCGGCAGGATACGTCAACGTTTAGCATCCTGCGTCTCACATGCATCTAGTTTTGCTATATTGTGTGATGGCTCTTGGCTCTCAGAAAATTCAGCGCTCATATGAAAATTGACTTTCTTCAAACAATTTTTGAAAAGCTTGAAGAACATCTCCTCTGACATGTTGAACCGGTCTTCAACTTGACCGTGGATGTGAACGTCGCGCTGAAAATTTAATGTTTTTGGAAAGCGTAATGAAGACAAAAATTTACAAAAGTTACTTGGAGACCGTAATGGCCATAGCAGAAACCCACTCAAACCGTCAAATTTGAGCTCAAGCATCTCGATTTTCTCAAGCATCTCGATTTTTTAAATATTTCAAAAATGTTTCAACTTATAAATTACTTATCATAATATCACTAATGTTTTATCAGTTGACATGTTTTTCATAACTTTTTATAAGAATCGCGATGATTGAACTGAAGTCGACGCTCAATCGCTTTTTCGTATAAACTAATCCAAATAAGATAAACCGTTTGAAACCAACCAAGTATCAAAACTTTCAGAAGAAACACTGAATTCAGAGACTGGAAACATTCAAGCGATAAATCTCATTTGGATGAATTTATAATAAATGTTGTCAACTACAAAATTGAAGCTATATTTTTATTCAGTAGACATGGAGATGTTTAGACTAGTTCGGCGAAATCTTATAAATATTTCCAGACATTCAAAGTTGACGGTTTTCCACTGAAAATAACTGAATGAAAAACTTTTTGTTTGTTTATCGAGTTTGACCGAATTTTAGCTTTTTTAATGAAATATTTACTGTTCTCCAGAACCTCTTACCTCGCGTAGCTTGCTGTTCACAATTCTGTCATCAGCTTCCTTTTTTAGGCAAATCGTACCATAGTGGATGTCGCAATCCTTTGTTTTAACATTCTGATCCAGGTGCTGGTAGAATTTGGGAACCCCAATGACTCGGTCCTGAAAATAGTAATTAGATTTTCAAGTTTTTTTTATGAAATTATCACTCACTGGAATATTGCGAATCATCCTGTTCTTGAGACTGACCAGGTTTCTGGAGAAAGTGTCGGTCTGAATTTGCTGGAATAATTAGTTCAATAAAAAAATGAGAAAGAAAAATGCTATTCCAACTCACGAGATTGTTTGATGGCCCGTTCTGTCCAGGACCAGAAGAAATTTCCCTCATTAATTCCTTGGCATCCAATTTTTCCTGCTCCATTATTGGCTCAGCTTCTTTCTGAATCATCAGATTGTTCACAAGAATCTGATTGTTGACGTCATCAGGAATTTCTTCCTGAAATTCATTATTTTTTGAATATTATTTGCAACGCTTACCATAAATAAAGGATAGTATTCCAACCGCTCATAAGAGTTATGAGGAATGCAGATGTACTCATTGTGAGTTTTCTGGAACTCCTCTTCAGTAGAAAATTCGAAAACGTGAGATTCCTGATAAATTGTTTCGGAGCTGTTGAAAAAAAGCACCGGTGGCCGTGGCCGAAACACCCACAACGACAATTACAGTAACTGAAAACTGTACTAGCAAATATAACATAATAAGTGTCAGAATTTCATGCTTTCAGCATAAATAATGCACTACGGTGTGAATTTCTGTACATTCAAACACTGTTATCAAGAGAAAACAAACAAGAGTAGCATTTCTCTTAAAATACGTCAACGTTTAGCATCCTGCGTCTCACATGCATCTAGTTTTGCTATATTGTGTGATGGCTCTTGGCTCTCAGAAAATTCAGCGCTCATATGAAAACTAATAATCTCAGTATAATGATGTTTTCAAGCTGTTTTGATTTTATAATCTTTTATAATTTTTTCCAAATTTCATTTTTATTTTCTTGAATTTTTTGGTAATTTCTATTTCAGCCAGTTTACGAATTGTGTCAGGAAACTTGTGAGGGCACGCGAAGTGAATAAGGTAGCTCTTTCTACAATTACCATGTAGAACTGCATTATTGCAGTTTTATCTTACCGAAAAATGCTTTAAAATTGTTTTTTCCTACTTTAATTGTTCTCAAAATAATCTAAAAGCTCTCTAATCAAACTAAATTACGGAAAAAACAAAGAAATCCCATCAAAAACTGCTCAAACTTTAGTTTATTATTCTCTCCAAGAAATCAGCACCAACAGTTGGCGAATACCACATTGACAAGAGAACAAGAAACATGAAGAGACGCAGGCGGAAAAGGCGAGTGTGGGTTTTCTCTTATACTGGTCTAATAATACACAAAGTACTTGCATTTTGGCGGGAGAATTTGAAATTTGTGTTTTTCCTATTTTTTGAGCCTAATAACTGTTTTAAAAAGTGTGCGCTATATTAGAAATAGCCGTCATTGCATAACAATTCAATGAGACACTGCGGAATCCAATACATAACTAGTGAGATGACCCCTCCTTCCCTTTTTCTCGCTTCTTCTCTCTCTCTCTCTCTCTCTCTCTCTCTCTCTCTCTCTCTCTCTATCTTTTTTGAAAAAGTGCGACAACTGCCATTGCGTGCGCGTGTACTTCTGGCCAGATGTCACCATCATGTTGCCGACAGGTCCGATAAGCGCCAGATCGTCTACTCATTTCATATGTTATTCTTTCTCATAATCGATTGTCTCTCAATCAGACTTTTTAAATCGGGAAATCGGGAACCTCGTTTTCCTGAAATTTTTCTCCCGGAATTTTCTCGAAATTTTTTTACCGAATTTTTCTCGAAAAAACAATTTTCTGGCGAATTTCAGGAAAACCTGGATATTTTCCAGTCATTATTTCTCAAAATTTCTGGAATATTCAAACATTTTCTGCTTTTTTGATAGTTTTTCGAGGAAATCCATTGGAAACTTTTGAGAAACATAAAGAAATTGACAAGTCCCAAAATAAATAGACAAAAATAAGCAAAATTAATTTTAAAACTAATTTCTTGATTTTTCCCGGTTTTCCTGAAAATACTCGTATAATAATCTTGGGAAAAATTTTGTGAAAAACATTCCAGAAAAGAATAATCGGGAAATTTTTCGGGAACCCAATTTCTCGAAAAAAAATTTCGGGAAAGTTTTCGTAAGCAAAATTCCCGAAAAAAATTTCCCGAACAATTATGTTCTGAATCCCATCGTTTGTCTTTGCGACGTAATTACTGTAAAAATTGGAGACATCCTCCCTGGTTTGAATACTTCATTAGAAAATTCGAATTTTCTTTTTCACTCTCTCCCTCTATCTCATTTTCTCTTTGCTTTCTCTGCTCTCCAGTCAAGCTTGATTCACGCTTTTTCTTTTTGTGAAAATACGATTTTCAGAATGTTTCCCAGTATACCATTATTGCTCGGGTTGTCTCCTCCTGCACCAACAGGTTTACCTACCACTTTGCCTAGTTCAAGTTCTGCTCCCACGAGTACCTCTACTACTTCTTCAAACATTTCTTCGGCGCCAACTACGGTGTCCAACACCCAACAAGGTTCAGCTCCCAGCTCAATCCAAACCATTCCAAGTACTTCGAAACAAACAGCTTCTGCTCAGTCAAAATTCAAATCGCTCGGAAGAACCCAAAAACGATTCCCAAACAGACAATTGCGCTATAGAAATGCTTCTAAGAGTGTAGCTTCGACATCCACTTCAAGTAATGCTTGGAAGAACACGTCCAGCACTTGTCAGAAGACAACTCGATCCACAGCCCCATCCAGATTATCAGGATCCGCTTCTACTTCATCCTCCAACGCCTCGTCGAAACCATCCTCGTCTGCCAAGAAGAATAACTTCAAGGAGCACCCTGTTGAATACCTGGATGACAATTTTGGTGCAAATTTGTATGGATGTGCATTCAATCAGTTTCTGGCACCCACTGAAACTCCAGTTGTTGCGTTGGTCGGAAGCAAGGGAACGGTGAGAACTATTTTCCTTTTTTCAAAAAATTGTTTTCAAGTTTTCAGATTGCCGTTTATAGCCTTCCTCAAAATTCCAACAAATCGTATAAATCTCTATACAACGGAAAATTGGGTACTAAGGTATAAACTTTATTTAAATATTTATCATTCTAAACTTTACTGTTCATGATTTCCATTGTTCACTTCACTGGAAATTTAAAAAATGCGTAAGACAGTGCCGGTGAATGAGATTTACAAATATGAATTTTTAGTCGATTTTCAGCCATTTTCAGAAGTCTGTAGCTTGGATGTCAGGTTCCCGATCATTTTAAAAAATTTGGAGAGTGTGAAACAGACCTACCGTAAAAACTCTATTCGATAGCCATGGCACTCTAATGTTCGAAGGTGGTCTGGGGTGGCACTGTATTAGGGGGTGGCATTCAATTAGAGGCTGACACTTTATTGTTCGGAAACAATTTCTACTGAAACTCACCACAAAAATTCTCGATTTTCAAATTTTTCATAAAATGAATTCCGAGTTTTTCTTGATTTTTCTACTTTTTAAAGGAAACTTTCGAAGTATGATATTATCCTGAATCATTTTTGACAAATACAATATCTATTTGAAGCTTGAAAAAAAAACTAAAAGAAACAGGAAATGATTTTTTAAAGTTATTCCTAAACTTTTTATTGTTTGGAGGTGCTCTAAGATGGCACTATATTAGGGGCTGGCATTCAGTTAGGGGTGGCTATCTAATAGAGTTTGTACGGTAAATTAAAAACTTTGCTATCACAGAATTTTTTGAAATTTCATATTTCCCGGCTATTCACCAATTTTGAAAAGACATCCCTATTTGGCCCATTTTTTAACATGAACACCCGAAAAATAGTTGTCTTTGAGAAATTTCGAAGTAGCTAAAAATATGAATTCTCGAAAAAATTCTGCGAATGCGAAGTTTTTTATCTTGGTCTGTTTCGTAACCTCCAAAAAATTAAAAATAATTAGAAACATGACTGTGGAGCTCCAGACTCTCGAAAATTGTCCAAACTGGCCGAAAACTCCTTGAAAAATACGTTTTTTGTACATCTTATCGGCTGGTACTGTAGTTGTTATGAAACATAGTCCACAAAATTCACTTTCATGAGAAATAATTTTGTAAACAAAGCTTGATAAATGTATTACAGGAAGAAAAAGATTTGAACACCGTCACTTGGTGCTTTGACGTCTCGAACAAAACACAGGGCCACAAAATTGTATGCGGGGAGGAGACCGGCAGAATGTACGTTCTCAATACGTCCGATATGACTTGCGAAAATGTGAGTATTTTGAAGTGAAGTTATCAATTCTTCAGCATTTTTCAGGTACTCATCGGATCTCAAGCGGCCATCAGTGATCTACGGACACATCCTACTAATGGCGCGATGGTAGCAACAGCAGGAAACGATTGCACAGTTCGGATTTACCACATTCGTCACGAGTCAGCGCTAGTGGTCTGTGCGGGAATTCATGGACACCACCAATGTGTTCAAACAGTGGTAAGATTTTTTAGTTGAACTACTCTAGTAGTCTACCAACGTGCACTATGAGCTCAATTATCTCGTTTCTTGAGAGCTATTAAAAAGTTTTCAACTGACAAATTATTTATTACAATATCACCAGCACTAGATTTGTTGACAGATGTTTCATATCTTTCAGAAGAATTGAGATGATTGAGCTTAAGGTGCACGTATAGGGGAAGCTTCCATTTCAGCAAATACGGTATTCGGCTTTTATTGCATTTTTCTTTCAGACGTGGTCTTCGGATGGTCATCGATTGATTAGCGGAGGAAACGATCAGCGAATCATGATGTGGGACGTTGAGCAGCAGAAAGTTCGAGCTCACCTGGAAGAGAAATCACGGATTCTCAACCAGGGCAAAAAACTAGCACTGGCAAATTTAAAAGATGGGGTGAATCCAATGTAAGTCGTTTAGTAATATGATTCGGAAATTGATCATATAGAAATACAGACAAACTTTGAAGCTACCGTGAAACACGTGAAAAGAAGATCGGGCCTTCTATTGTTCCAAGTCACGGATAAAGCCCTGAAATTTTTATTGAAAATGCAGGGAATTCTATTTCAAAGTTTACCGATATTCTCAATTTACACCAAAATTTTTAGCAATCCTCTCCTACAGAACCTCTTTTATTCTTTTTGGAAGGTCCTCACATTATAGCGACCCTTTTATCAGACGTGTCCTTCTATACAGGGTTTAGACAATTTTAAACAGAAAAATCACGAAAATACTGTAGTTCTCAATAAATATTCATAACACAATGATTTTCAGCAACATCCACGGTCACACCCTAAACAACCCTCGTCCAATTTCTACCATCACCGACGTTCACTACTCTCCGACAACAACATCCAAGTGTGGGTGATGGGTTCGTCTGGACCAGAAAATCGGCGAGACGGACAAATGTCGCGGTCCCGGAGAATTGCTGCAACAATACCGGTCGCTAGCCGGGATCCATGGGCTGACTTGTGGATTCGATTCGCTGTGGATCCATTGGGAGAATATGTTGTGGCGAGCAACACCGACAGCCAGCTCATGTTTTATGATTTCAAAACAGGATCTAGAGACCCGTAAGTAGAATTTTGAATTTTAGGAAAAATTTATCAAAACTAGAAGAAAGAAGTGGTACTTAAAAAGTACTTCAAAGAACATGAAAAAAAACGCACTTTGCGACTCTAGAGGAAGACTTCGGTAGTACCGTAATTCCTCTCATGGAAGCCCACCCAAGCCGTCAGCTTTGAGCACAATCAACTTGATTACTGCGGAAGATATATAGATAAAATGATAACATATTGGTGATAATATGATAAATAGTTTATCAATTTACAACTTCTTGATATATTTTGCAAAAATCAAGATAATTAAGCTCAAAGTTGCCTGTGTTAGTGGGCTTCTATTTGATAAAATAGGTGTTTTCCATACATCGATTTTTGATTCCGAAAAGTTCGAATAACTTTTTTCCTTTGATTTATATCAGAAAAAACTGAATTTTGTCACAAAAATGTTTATATTATTTATATCAGGATCCACACAATCATGTTGAGAGACCCAGCATATCCATCGAATCTCCGGATGAGACAGGCCAAATTTTCGCCAGATGGAAAGATTGTACTGGTGGTTGGAGACTTTGCATTTATGAAAAGATTCGATAGGATCTAATTGATTATTCTCAAAATATATTATTCTCGATGATTTTGCCCCGTTTTTCTTTCATTGGTTTTTCTTTCATTTGTTTTTTAAAAATTTTTCCCGATGTTCTTTCTTTGGTGATGTCCTATCCCACTCATTTTGTCCATGTCAAAACTATTGATTTTTGTTAAAACCGGAAAAAAACGAATAAATTTTTTGTCAAATGTTTGAGACTTTCGTTTTACAGATTCCCAATAAGATCAAAAATGAAAAAAAACGCTTTCAGATTTTTTCAGTCACGTAAAAAATGTGTATACCCGGAGACATGATTTAGCAAAATTTATATTCGATTTTTTTGTGTCTCAATATTCCTGTGGACGGGCACGAATCAAGGCAAATTACTTTTTATTTTGACATCATTCTCAGTTTTTTTTTGGCAAATTTCCACAACTTAGAAGCACTCAAGTTGAAAGACAATTTTTAGAGATCTTAGAGCATTAGTTAGAAATGAAAAAAAAAACAGAAATAAAATGGATTAATCTGGTAAAAGACTTTCGTCGAACTCTGCAAAATCGTCAGGACTAAGTTCAGTGACAGTTTTTCGAGATCCAGTTTTTGGGCGGTTTGTCATACCGATAGGATCATCGTATGAGAAGTCGTTTTCTCCTGAAAAAATACCCATGAAGTCAATTAAACTCCCGGAACTTACTCATGTCCCGTTGAGACACTGAAAATGAAGCGGTGTTATCCAGTAGAGGAATATGAGCACTATATTGTCGTGCTCCACCACTAGAGCCTCCTGAGCCGGAGCCGAGCCCAGTGAGCCCAGATGGAGGAAGGGAGTGTGTAGAATTCGCCGAGTGTCGTTTCCCTTGACTCGAATCACTTTCTCTTTGAAGGCGCAGCTGATTGATTCTGGAATTTGGAAAAAAGTTGTTTATCCAGGTAATAGGAAAAGCTCACTTTTCGGCTTTTTCCAATTTATCCTTATATTCCTTATATTCAGTCATGCCAAGATCTCCAGCGATTCTGACGAGGAATTTGAGACACTCCAGATCGTGTGGGAATTTTCTATGAATTTGACGATAAAGGTCAAATGCGCGCTGATAGTTTCCAGTTCTTCGTAGACAGGTGGCAATGAGCATTTGCCATTTTGATACGTTTGGTCTGAAATTCATAAATTCTCCATTTCATTCTCCTAGTATTACTACTCACTGCATGAGAGCCGCTTTCTCAAAGTAGCTGATGGACTTTTCCGAAAATTGAGTTTCCAAATAATACGATGCTAACCATTCTACAGTATCCAAGTTTGATGGAAAGTATCGATAACTCTGAAATCATCCCTAATTTATCAACTTTTCTGAAATTCACTTACATCATAGTGACATTGGAATGCTTGGGATTTATCGCCCTCCTGGTCATATAAATCTGCCAACTTTGAAAGGATTGCAGGGTCATTTGGGACCATGCTATTAGCTTGGCTGTACAATTCGATGGCTTGAGCGGAATCTTCTAGAGATTCGTATCTGAAAATTATATTAATTATCAGAATAAGAAGAGAGTAAACTCACATTGATGCCAATTGAACTAACACTTGAACATTGTTCACCAGAATTCCGTGTAGCTTGAAGAAATATTCCAATGCCAGTTCCAGATTTCCTTGAGCTTTTGAGGCCAAACCAATATTGAACAATGCCTGAACACAGCTAGCATCATTGGTCAGAGCCTCACGATAGTGAGCCATAGCTTTATCCAAGTCTCCATTCATATAATGGATATTTCCCTGGTTCACAAGCGCATGTGCACTAAAACGATCAATTGATAAAGCTTGGTCAGCATACTGTTGAGCATCCACAAGACGACGACCTCCTTGCTGAACTTTGGATATAAAAATTGAATTTAAAAAAGTGTTCACCAAGAATCTTAACATGCAAAGATTATTTGCTGCAGCTGCTGCTGTTTTTGAGTCTTGGGCATTGAAAATCTTGAGAACCTCCACTGCACTTTCAATGTCTCCATTTTTCATCATCTCTCCGGCTTTTGTCATTTCTAGATCAATTGCTAAGACAGCATGAGTCGACTGTTTCAGAGACTCCAAACACCATTCATAGCCGATAGCGTAGCTGAAAAAATAATAATGGGGGAGATTTCTAAAAGCTAGGTTTGTACTCCGGCGCAATTAGCGGGCTAATTATTTTCACAGCTGTGATGATTGCTTTCTCCGCTTCGTTCTTTTGTTGTTTTTCCCAGTGTCTTAATGCATCCGAGTTGAGAGTTTGATTCAAGAGCACATCATCGTCTTCTTTCTCTTTCATGAACTCATCATCAGGGAAGCCAGGAATGTCGATGAGTTTTAAAAATGATTCCCTCATTTTTTCGGCGTCTTGTATGCAGAACGAAGTCAAAACTGCAAAAGAAATTGTACTGTAAAAGCTTGTAGACTTGGAATAGCACAGAATTCACACCGTCCACTTAGAGTTACCGTAAAAACTGTAAGAAAAAGTTCGTCTAACTTTCAGAACCGAGATAAATTGGTTCAAACGGGGAATGGCTTCTACCAAATGTCCCACGAAAACCAAAACATCAAACTAACTTAAGTTCAATGCACTCGCAAAATTTGGTTGCTCCTCGACAACATGCTCAAAAGTGTTCACCGCATCATCATAGGATCCCATTCTCACAAAAGTGACTCCGATATTATTCAGAATTTTTATTCTTGTATCCTTCTGAATGCTCGGCACTTGATCCAAAGCCATCCGATAGTACTTCAACGCTTTGGTAAACTCTCGACGTTTATAATGGATGTTTCCAATGTTGACCTGGAGTATATTGATCAATTTGTATGATATTACTAGAAAACATTGCTCACTCTTAATCTTCCAGAGTTCGGGAACATTTTGTTTCTCACAATGATTTCATAGGTGTTCAGTGCCTCGTTGGTCATGTCATTAGCCTCATATTGTTGAGCCAAATTGAAGAGAACCGTAAACGTTAAATCCAAATTCATGCTCTCCACTAGTCCAGATTGCTCACGGTGCTTCACAACTGCTCTCTCCCGTCTTCCTGCCTCTTTTCCCTTGTCTAGCGCCTGAACCCCTCCATTCGAAATAAACCTTTAATTTGTATGCATTCTCACCTCTTTATACTTCTTCTTCTCACTGGCAATCATACTCTCACGCAACATATCCATCACCTTATTCTCCATCTGCTTACATTTTTCCTCTTCACTGAACATCACCACTAGACATACAAATCATTGGGATCAAAACCTACCTCTCCCCCAAGTTCTCAGTGCTAATAGTTCTTTCCGCAGCTTGAACTGCAAAAAAAAATCGTCTTGTGTGCGGATATCTGTCAGTGTCTTACCTTTGTTTGCAAACGATGTGTATCCGGCTCCACGGACAGCGGTCATCGGTCGAGCCGGCTCGTTGTTGTTGGCCATCGCCGTTCGGCCGCCCATGCGGCTCATGTCTAAACTAACTGGTTGCGAAATAGTAGGTGTATAAAATCTTACTGATCATTGTGGGTGGAGGTTTGCCGTAAGAAGAGCCTGGATCTCGGAATCCCATTTGTGATGTGTTCTGAAAATGAAAAAAGGTATGAAAATTCAAAATTTTGAAAAAAATTTGAAAATATAAGACTTCAATTTTATTTTTTCGTCTTTTGAGATAAGAGTGATATCATAGGACAAATTTTAATGTGAAACATTTGAATCAGCAATTTTTCTGACTCAAAAAAAATTCAATTTTAAATACCAGTTGAAAAAAACCCTTGACAGTGCATAACTGTCAATTGAAAACAACGTTTTCCAACCCTATAATTGAGAAAAAATCCCACAAAAACAAAATAAAATTACCGGGCGCCTTCCATGACTCGATCGAGCAACAGCTTGTTGGAATTGAGGGTTTTGTGTGATACTCTAAAGCAAAATATACACTTATAGTGCTTGAAAAAAAGTTTCAATTTCAAAAAATACCTCGATATCATACGCTTGATTGTAGGAATCAAATCCACCGTAGAAATCATCGTCGTCGTTTTCACGAAACGAGTTTTGGTGCATAGTGATGTATGCTAATATTAAAAGCGTTCGCTATATGTGCGCTTAGTCAAAGCACCCCCAGGGAAAACAAGCGTTGCGTTTCCCTGGCAACCGAAAGACGCGCCGAGAGAAAGGACGCAAAGAAATAAAGAAGGAAACGCTTTTCCCAAAGAGAGATACAATTGTTTATACATATATGCAGCTGAGGGAGTTGAATATAATTGAATTCGAGTGGGAAGGGAAATTTTTTACAAATAATAAACGAAAAGAAAGAGGGAAATGAAAATTGAGGGAAGGAACGAGATCGTGGAAGAGGAAAGCGTACAAAATGGGAGATAGATTTGAATGGGTCGTTCGACGGCTTGGATAACGGTGAGGAAGGATCCAAGGCCACATGTTGTCTCAATAGCAGGACGGATGCAATCCGTGTAGGATTGGAGGGCACTGTAAATTATATAATTTTTGAAATTCCGGAAGTTTTAGTTTACGCGGATTACTGTAATTGGAACATCTTAAAACTAGAACATCTTAAAAGTGGGGCGGGGGCATGAAAATATATGTACATTATCGGTTAATAAGATGTATACGGTAATTTAAACCGAATTGTTTCTCATGAAATTGAAATTTGTGGACAATGATTCATAATAACTTCAGTACGAGTCAATGAGATATACTAAAAATATTTTCAATCGATTTACGGCCATCTCGACCATTTTCAAGAGTTTGGAGCTTGACTGTCAATTTTTAAATCACTTTGGAAACTTTGCATGGTTTGAAACAGACGTATATTGAAAAATTTGCATTCAAAGAACTTTTTTTTTGAAAATGTCAAGTTTTCCAGTTACTTGCTGATTAAAGAAGGACAGCCCTTTCCGGCTTGTTTTTATTTCGAATACCTGGAAAAACAGGTGTCCTTCAGGAATAAAAAAGGAACAAATAGCTGAAAAAAGGAGTTTTCAAAAAATTCAATCAACGCAAAATTTTCATCCTAGATCTGTTTTACACCCTCGAAAGTTTTCCAAGTGATCGGAAGCTTTTGAGCTGAACTTCAGTTTCCTGAAAATGTTCAAAATGGTCATCAATGAATCTGAAATCTTGGTTTTGTATATTTTATTAACCGTTGCTATGTTTTTTTTTGAAATTTGGTTACTGTAAATGACCACTAGCCTCATCTGAATCACTTACAAACACGCTCCTGCTCCTGAAGAATAGTCATTGTACATTTGCTCGGTGTTCCTAGCCAATTGTGTGAAACTTGCTTCACACATTGCAATCTCTCTGCTATCCGCAACAGACAAGTAGCAGTTCCAGTTGTTCAGCATAGCTAAAAATCTAATTTTCCGTCTACTAAATTCTCAATTATGCTCACATTGATATCCCTCTCCACAAACATATTCTAGCACTGAGTCCACCACAGAGTAGCGAGATTTTAAAGGTTCGTGGGGATAGCAAGCTTGTTTGATGTAACTTCCACCTAGACAGTTGTTGAATCTTTGGTAGGCTCTGAATTACAGATGTTCGTCTAGGTTTCTGCTTCCTCCAATAACTCACCCACACATCTGGACGAAATGAATTTGGGAGTGAGTTTTCATATCCGAAAGTGTCGCTTGTTTTCCTCCCAACGCACTGAACACTCCCATATTCGTCAATTCATCCGAGCATTGAGCAATCTTGTTCTCAGCCTGAGCATCACAAGTGGACCCATATCCCACAACATTGCGCATCAGACTATTGGTTTCTAGAGGAATATATCCTATTGCTGGAAACAAAAAAGGCAAGTTTGGAATCGAAAACCAACCGGATACTGTACCATTGACTGATTGAAGTAGAGCTAGCGGGATTAAAGCGAGCATGGTGTGTTGTTCAAAAGTGGGAATGGTTTTGCGATCCTTCCCCCCGATACGGAAGATGGGTTAAGCTGTCAGTTTTGGGCCGCCCCGGGGTGTCAAAAAGCGTATCATCCTATTTCGTGTAGTTTCTTTTCCTTCACAAAAGCAAATAGTTTGTAGTACATACCAATTGTGTACTCATGTCAGTCGAGATCACGTTTTGAGGTTGAACTTGGCTTTGCATAGTTAGAGTTCTTCGTACCCGGATAACCATTTAATCTGGATGGTTTTTCGAAAAATTAAAATTGGGAAAATCAAAAAAAATTTTATTATGCTAGCACAAGTTAAAGCTAGAACGGTAGAAATTATCGTAAAACCAGTAATGGAAGGGATCCCACACAGTCAAATTTGAGCTGATTTATCTTGTTTCCTCCAAAAGATATCAAAACTTTGTCAACTGATAAAATGTTTGTGATATTATGATAAACACTTTATCAGTTAAGAATTTCCTCATATCTTTGACGGGAGCCGAGATAAATTGGCTCTGAGTAAAGGAACCTTATTATTAGAGAGGTTTTACGGTAGAATCAGAAAAAGTCAATCACAAATTAAAGCAAAATCGAAAATGAGATAAATGCATTATGTCACAGAGTCGCTCTTTCAATCACTTGTTGTTTCCGTTGGCGGTTTGTCTTGAAGGACGGAGCACCAGGAATTCAATTACATCTGATAAGGAGATGATTCCTTTCAGAATAGTTTTATCATCCACCATAAATATTCGATGCACATTTTTATCTATAAAAATCTCTATCAGAGACCAGAGGGTTGTTGTATAGTGAGCAGTGACAACAGCATCACGGCGAATTCCCTGAAAACCCCAAATTTCAAGAATGATTCCTAAATAGCGAGTTTCTTACACATTGGTAATCTCTTTCCTGAATCGCTCGGGTGACTGTAACACTGAGGTCAATATGATCCGAGAAGGCAGCTGAAGCGGCATCAAACCTTGTGTACACTTCTTTGACCTAATTCAGTTCCATTAAAAAAATACTCTCAAGTTTCAAGTTTACCTTCATTGTGTGTTTTTCGACAATTGGAATTCCGCTGATATGATTGTCAATCAGCATGTCCAGGCAATCTATCAGTGGTGTTTTTTCGTCGGCCTGAAAGTTGTTATTGTGTTTTTTTTGTATCAAAAAGGGCCGTCGACTAACGTAAAGCAAATTTTTCCACGTTCCCATCTCCAGGTCCACCACTCGTTGACTCAAACATTCGGGTTTAGGAAGAAGGGCGCACTGGAACACAAAATATCAAATTAGAGGGTAGTATTTAAATTCTGGAAGTTATCAAAAATCTGAAAATCGAACTGAACACTATGGCTGCCAAACTGTCAATTTTCCGTCCATCTCATTTTCTTTGAAAGACATCAGAAAATGGTCAATTAGCAAAAATTGTTTATTGTCATGAATGTTTTGTTATTGTCGAATTCAAAAAAAAAGTGGGACCTGAAAATTTGAAAGGCGTACCTTTTTTTGATCTGCGAAAAAGTGCGGCAAAAACGTAATATTTCAGATTTTCGCCTCGTTCGAGCTACTTTCGCATATAAGTTCGGTTTTTCGATGAAAACAGATTCTAAAGATGCTAGCGATCATTTTCCTACCAAGAAATCTAAATTTCGTGGAGAAAATCCCACTGAATTCACAGAAATAAGTTTCGTTTACTACGGTAGTGTTTCAGGGGCAAGGCCTCGAAAATTGATCTTGAAGTCGCCCGCGAAATTTTCCAGGTTCCACTTTTTTTAATTCGACAATAGTTTGACACTTTTTGATATCTTTGAGAGTAAACGAGATGAATTGCCTCAAAGACGGAAAGCTGGTTGATGTCATTATGTCAAACAATTCATCAGTCACGATATTTTAACATTTTATACGAAAATTCAACTATTTGTAATAAAATAGCAATTATATGATAGATTTACAGTATAACGGTATATAAGATACGGGAATACAGTATTCATTTTAAAACGCTTGTACGCTATACTTGTACGCTGTACTCTGTTTGCACTGAAACAGCTCACTCTGTTCGTACAATTTGAGTTCAAATATGTCGGCTTTTATTAGAGCTATGAAAAATCTGTAAACTGGGAAATGTTGGTCTTGTTATGTCAAACATTTTATCAGTTCACAACTTTCTGATATCACTTGAAGAAATTCAGATGATAGAGCTCAAAGTGCCAGTAACATTTGGCATTCTTTATATTAGAGCATTTACGGTTTACCCATCACTTGTATTAGGTTGGAAGGAAAGTAACTCTCTATTTTTTAATTTGTGATTATCACAAAAGCAAGAATTATCCTAGATTGACAGTATGCACCGTCGTGGTCCACAACATGCTGACAACATTCAGGTAACTTGTGGATACCATCCCTCCAACAGCCAGCTGGCCGCATATTAAAGTATTCTTAAAGTGCCGTTTTTTTCTCATCGACAGTGAAAAATTAATTTTCCTCCAGATGACTTAACTCCAAAAAACCAATAATGACAGGACCAAGTCTGGAGTTCGAGAAAAGTGCAGAGCCGTTCATCCAAAACGGCTTAGGACTGAATTGCTTATTTTTTAATAAAACGAGATCCTATGTTCCACGGGAAGCCAAGTAAAACCTAGACCGCTTTAGCTCGACGGTTTTTCTTTACGCCCCCTCAAACTACTGATTTGCCCCTTTAATTACTGGCTATCAGGAAAAATGTAACGTCATCCGGAGGGAAAATATTTAACACTGTAAATGAGATCAAATCTGGACCGAAAAAATTCTTTCAGTCGCAGCCAATTGGCCTTTGGAGGGGTGATATCAACAAATTACCTGAATGTTGTCCGCATGCCGTTCACCACGACCGTGCATACTGTCAATCTTGGATAATTTTTATTTTTGTGTTATTCACGAATTAAAAAAATGGACAGTTACTTTCCTTGCAACCTAATATTTAAAGCCTATTTATTTTGATTTCTATATAAGATATCGAAATTCTGTCAACTGGTAAAGTATTTATCATAGCTATACCAACATTTTTGTAGTTTTCAGAATTTGATGTTTCTCGCAGAAATTGAGATATTTTCGAGATCATATTATCAAGTTTCGATGATTTTTAGCTGTAAACCAATACAAAAACACATACATGTTTCCATAGGTAGTGTAGTATTCTACGGTGCGTCAGAATGTATGCACAATCCCCCGTGTTCTCATCCATCACCGGCAGTCGATGAATTCTATGTTTGGTGAGCAGCTCGACGGCCCGAAATATGCTTTCTTTCAATCCAATGTTGATGAATGGCTTCAACTGCCCTTTCATTTCGAGACATCCTGAAGTGAAAAAGAATAAATTGAAAAATCCCGGCAAACATAAACATTCTAATCCCACCTTTCCATCTCGAAATCGGCATGTAAGCAATGTCCATCTGCCGGAAATCCTCATGGCTAAGCGGTGTGCCTTTAAGCTCGTCGAGATTCTCACGATACTTCCACAACATCATGAGGACCTGGAATATGGAGAAAAGTTGTGAATTGAAAAAAAAAAACAATTACCATTATAAAATCGGTGACCGATAATACGCCAGTAATCTCCAACGTTTTCGAGTCTGCCACTAAACCTGTTCGCATACCTGTAACTCGATTTTCAAAAATCAATTTTCAAAATTCTATTCTTCTTACAATTATAAATCAATCCATTAAACGCCTTTCTTACAGATATGTCGTTTGTGAAAACGATAAGTTTGTTATTCCTAGCCATCGCCTCGTAGCATTGTGATAGTTGTAGAAGATGTGTATAAACTATATCAGAGTTTTCTGAAATCAAATAAAGTTTTTTTTTTCAATTCAAAATAAGAAATACTCACGAACTCCTATCCTTAAAACCGTTTTAAACATATTTTCGAGATCCTGTTTCTCTTTTTCATCTGGCCGCTCGTCGTTGGCATATTTGACGACGGCGTGCTCGCTGGAGAAAACACTATAACACATTTTTTACATGATCAAACCAAACCTTATTGCTGCGCCATCTCGCTGAATAGCTTCGATGCCATCTACGGGAGCTTTTTTCTTGCTGAATATGAAATGATGCTGGAGATCGAAGAATGCTGAAGAAGAAATGTGAAAATATGAGCTGGGAGAAAGAAGTAATGAAGTTTTTTTTCGCTAGCAGGAAATGAGAATAATGCATTGCGTTTTTTGCAAGTTAGAATACGTCAGAAAATATAATATTCCGTGTTCATTCTATTGAATGAGAACGGATATACCTTAAACACTCTAATAGAAACCCACCGTAAACCTGCATTTTGAGCTCAATTATCTTAAATTCTATGAGAGATATTGAAAATCTGTCAATTAATAAAATGATTGTCATAATATTACCAAAATTAAATCAGTCGACACATTTTTGATATCTTCCATAGAATTGTAGATAATAAAGCTCAAAGTGCCAGTACAGGGCGGCCTTCTATTAGAGTGTTCACGGTATTCATGTTTCTAATATTGTTTTGAATGCAGCGTCTTAAAATGATATTTCAAAAATTCAAGTTTTTATTCGAAAACTTCAGTTTTTAAAAACTTATGAAAGTTTTTAAAAATCAATTCTTCTTTTTTTTTCAATACATCTTTTTGAATACAGAGATAATTTTTCTTTAAACTTCTCCTTTTTCATATTTGATCTTTTGACCTATCCGGATGTTTGAAACATCAACTAATACATTATTCATATATCTTTTTCCTGATTTTATTATTATTGCAAAATTTGCAGATGCTTTTTTGGCTGACTCCAAAAAAACCACCTGATCAAATTTCAAACTTTCAATCTCCCTCACCTTTTGGAATGCTCGGAGATTCAAACGTTGTGGCCTTATTGCGCCTAAGTTTTCCCGTTTGGTTGTTCATTGATACATTTGGAGGTCCTGAAAATAGTCTTTCTTAAAATTCAGGAAAAATGTGCGATGTATAAACTCAAGAAGAAGTTGACGGGGCACATTTTTCATTTATGCTGTTGGAGAGTTAAGAAGAAGAAGAAAAAGGAAGAAGAAAAAACGGGAAAAGACGGGGGGCTCAGACCGAAAAAAAATGAGATGGAAAGCGGATAGAAACAAAAATGAGAATGCCGGGAGGAGAGGGACATTGAAACCCTCTTACTCGTGTCGTGGCAATTAATCGGTTTGTGTGCCAGCTGAAAAGGAGGATTTTATGAGATTTCAGAGGCGCATAGGAAATGGAATTTTCAAATCCCAAGCATTTTCCTGCCAATGCACCCATTGGTGAATGTTGTTTGCAAACGGTTCAAAGAATTTGAAATGAACTTGCTTTGCTCCCACCCCCTATTGAAATTTTCTTCATTCAAGTAGGCGGAAACTCTGAGTGCTTCTTTTCTGGAGCAGTGAGACGCGGCAGAAGAAAAGAGAGGGCAAGTGCACAAAAGTTGATGGTGAGAAGAAAGGAAAAACTGCTTGTGCTTTTGCTTTTTTTTGCAAAAAAAGAATATTATGAATACGTGTGTTTATGTGGTATATGAGAAGGGCAAAACATGGAAAACGTTTATAAAACAAAACTGAGTGTTCGGCCGGCTAAAAACAAAAGAAGAAATAAAATAAGATGATTTTCTTCTTCTCATAAGAAGAAAAAGAGCAAATTTCAAGGTGAGGGAGGTAAAAAGCAAAGTGATCCTCAGAAGAGATAGCACCTGTTTCTGACGAGAGACTCGGTTTTACACCGAGAAGTCAGCAGGGACATTATCGAATTTTTTCGCTCGGCTTTTCGCCTTCTTCCAGTATTTGACAATGATTTATGTGGCACCAGTTGTGAAATAGAAGAAGGAGATGAGGGGTAAAAGGTTCCTCATTTCATCAGCACTCTCTTAAGGGTCCATGAGGGGTACATTGGACTCTGGGTGCAGGATTGGATTGGAGAAAAAATGTATGTTTTAGTTTTGTGACAAGTGCAAATCACTTTGTACCTGGTTTGACAACCAGATTGGTCAGGTATTGATCAGAAAGATGTTAGAATTATATACTTGCACCTGGCGGGATCAGAATCAAACATTTTTGAATTGAAAATTCATACCTTACACTCTAATAGAAATACCTGACACTCTAATAAAATAATCTTCTTACTTTCAACTTTGAGCCAATTTATCTTGGTTTTTGCGACAGATATCAAAAAGCGATCAACTGACAAAATAATTTTCGTATCATAATCAGTATTTTGACAGTTGAGTACTTTTTGATATCTTTCACAGGAAATGAGGTACAGTACCGGTAAATAAGATAAAACTTACTTTTCATAAGATTTTCGTTCATTTATGACAATTTTCAGGAGTCTGGAGCTTGGCTGTGAAATTTCCAATCATTTTGAAAATTTTGGAGAATGTGAAAAAGATCTCGATTGAAAACTTTGCGTTAACAGAATTTCCTGAAAATTCCTAGTTTTTCAGCTATATTTTTTTTTCCAGAAAACGTGAAAAAAAACTGTTTTGTAGGCAAAAACACTGCTCAGGGAGCTTTCTAAAGTGTCTGTGTGGAATTTATGATTAATAAAGGGCTAAAAAAAAATAAAGGGACATTAATTTCACCATTCTTCGAACAGTAATACTAAAGTAAGATGAATAATGGAGAAAGGAGAGAAAACATTCCAGATTAATGAACGCTCAAATTTGGGAAATATAAAATTGTGCAAAAACTGGTTTAAAAAAGCTTAGTTGGGCTTTTGAAAAGCTTGAAAAAGCTTTCTGACTCAAAAAATAATGAGAAAAGGTTTTTTTTCAAAATTACGGCTATTTCAAAACAATGTCATCACAGAAATCATATCAAAAACATTCCGAAAAACACTGAATCATCATCAAAAACAATTAAGAAAAAATGAGCACCCAAAACTTTTCGAGAAACCAGAAGCGACGGAAATTGATAGAGAAAGTCAATTTCTTCGCACTTTTTTGTTGAGAGATAGACGCAAAAAACCAAACACTTTTTTTTTGTTGAGGACACAAAACTTTTATTTACTCCTACTTACTCAAATGTATCGTAGGTTGCAGAGGGAGAAGAACAAAAGCTATCCCAAAATTTTATGATCTCGGCTTTTTATTACATTTCCGTTTTTTACGACAGGATTAATCGAATATATTTAGTAATACGATTTTCCAGTGAGAGTTGTAACGTGTGTGTGAGGTTTGATAATCCAAAGTTTTAGAGGGAATATAATTTATTTTAAAAGAAGAAAGTCTGAAGGCCAATTAACCATGAAACTAATATTGAAACTTTCTTGCTTCTTCCATCTCCTTCTTCTCCTTTCATTCAAATATTTGCTCGCGGATATTTCGATTTTTGATCAAAAACGCGAAGAAGAAATAATAAACGGTTCTTTTTTTCCTAGAAAAAAAGCTGATATTTGTTATTGGATATTTGTTTTTTGGCGCATCTCACATATAATATAAGGCAAAACGGATTGGGAATTTGTGTATATTCGAGAATCCGTGTGATTTTGGATTAGGATTACCTTCTTTTTCTTGTTTTCTCGTTTTTTTGTTGTTATGGATTGCTACCAAGGGAATATGCTTTTCTTTTCTTGTGACGTCTTTTTCAGCGTTTTTGTCTGCATTATCGTTGTCCATCAAAAACCAGTCCCTATTTTTTCGAACACGATGAAACACACTGCCCTAATGACCTTGCGAACAAAAATCAGAACATGAATTATTCACTGTCTTCCTTTTTATCTTTATCGTCTTTCTGCTAAAAGCAGTCCTCCAGCGATTAATCACTGCCGCACCGACCACACCCAAACAGTATATTCAATTGGTCTCCCGAAAGAGAGAGGTGGAGCCTAATTTGGAAAACGAGAGAAAAAAAGAGAGGCGGTTAGCATTGTTGTCTTTTCATTTCCAATTCATTCATTCCCCATTTTGCACCTCTGATGAGTTCATTTTCCCCATTTATTTTTTGCCATTTCCTGCCAAAAATACCTTAAAATGCGTCGTTGGTGTTCCATGTTTACTTGAAATACGATCACGTGGGTCAAATGACATTTTGTGCCTTTGCTAGTTTCGGCTTCCAAGTCAGCTGTTCAGAACAATTAGAACAATCCAGAAAATATGCAATGGAAGATGTATGGTTAGTTGAAAGGGTCGAAAATGATATCACTCTATGATTTTGAAACCAAATTCTGAATCATAGTCTGGTTTCCTTGTCAACATTCCAGAAAACTCCAAAAACTCCCTCTGGCCTTTCGGCTGAAGACTCAATGTCACAAAAAACGAACATCACACGACACAAATATTCTTTGCCACTCTCGGTTCTCTTCAGTCTTCGTCATGAGGTTTTTTGGATTGGTTCTTCGGGGCGCCAAATGTGCCAAAGCGTGAGCACCACGTCCATGAGATGACCAAGCTTTTGGTGGCACGTGAGTTGGGGCGGGGACACTGTCACTCTGGGAGGTTAGGAACACAAACACAACAAACTCAGTTCTCGTTTTCTAGAAAAGACGCGGCCAATTTTTAGCGATGGCGCGGCGGCGAGGACAACAAACTAGGAGTAGCAAGAGGAAGGAAAAAAAGTTGCGACGCAGCGTTTCTGTGCCGCCCGCACACTTTAGGCATCCTTGATTTCTAGTGTTTGAACAGTGCGACGGCAGATTTTTTTTATTTTGGCTTCCCCTTAAATTGGCTATTCCAGATTTTATTCCAGATTCATTTTCCTATTACTGTTGCCCATTTCATCCAGAATTTATTTTCCTCCAATGCTATCTTTGGTGCCCCCAGGGCGATTGTGTGTTTCCTTTTCCATTTCTGTTTATGTGATGTTAGTGGGGCACATCGGCAGAAAAAATTTCAGTTAGATAGAAAGACACGACAAGATAGGAAGATGAATGAAAACATAGGGAGGGGCGACCGTGAGCGAGAGAGAAAAAAAAGATGAAGAGTGGGCGCTACAACACACACACACACATAGCGAACAGGGTGAGAACCCCGCCTCAAACACAACAAAAAAAATGTTTCCTTGTTTTTGATCACTCTCATTTTCGTCCTCCCCAGCCCTTCTCAACAACCTGCCTTCCAACTTTCCCGCCAAATTTTTCAATTTTATTTCGAGTGTGAGTGTTCAGGGTGATCAGGCATCAAACTTGAACTGGATCATTGCTTCTACAGTAACCCACATTTTTAGGTCGAGAATGTAGGAAACCTTGTTGAAATACAGTACCAGACAATAAGAAATATGAAAAAACAAATTTTTCAGTGAATTGTCGAACATTTTGATCATGCTCAGCAGTCTGGAGCTCGGTTATAAACTTTGTGATCAGTTTGAAAATTTTGAAAGATGTAAAACATGCCTAAATAGATAAATTTGCGTTTACTGTTTTTTTTTTGAGAAAAAATCTAGTTTTTCAGTTATTAGCCGATTTCTGGAAGACAGTCTTTTTGCCGGTTTTTGTTCTGAAAACGCGAAAAAACATGCTTCTTCCAGAAATCGTTACGAAAAATTCTGTGAATGCAAAGTTTTTGCTCTAAGTCTGTTTTACCCTCTCCCAAAAATTTCACAGTGATCGGAAGCCTGAAAACCGAGCTCTAGACTCCGTAAAATTGTCAAATTGACAGATAACAAACTGAAAACTGCGTTTTATTGAATTTTATAGACTGGTACCGTTATATTTATGGCTTAACGCAGCAATCTTATCTCATATATATCCTTGTTGTTAACTCGGAATTTTACAAATCTTCAATAGTGAAATATTAAGTCACAATCAAAATGTTGAGAGAAAATTATGAAATCGAGCACGTGAAAACCCCATGATGACAAATTTTCATAGATGACGAATGTTTGAAAAACTGAGATTTTGAAATTTTCGATATTGAAACAGCTTTATTTTGAGCTCATGAATCCTAGATTTGTGGATTCGACCCTCTTAATACTTAACGGCACATCTACAGTACCCCTCTTTCAACGCAGGTGACAATTCTATACAACCTACTTTCGAAATCTGATATCACTGATACCAGATAATAAATGACATCCAATTTAGACACCATCCCATCCATCTCGAGGTCTTCTCTTCCTATCACAAGACCCCCAACAATGTACTTTTGCATGCGACCAGAAACTCGTGGCTGGTCAACTGGTGGCGAACTCCTCGGTCGAGAAGTTTAGTCATCAAAACGCTTTTTTTTTTCAACCTCTCCTCACTCTCGTCGAATGGTGTGTTACCAAGTTACCTCAAAATTGAGTTTTTTTCTTTTTCTATCGTCACGGGGTTTTGTTGCGATCTAGTAGTCTATGTTGATGAAGAGAGACAAGCGAACATGGACCAGAGACCCACACTGAAATGAAAACAAAAACAGCAGGCAGGAGGCACTGACCCTGTGTTTTCAGTTTTTTTTTCTTTTTCAGTTGTGTTGTCTTTTCTTTTGCTTTTGTCCCCATAGAATCGTCCAGAATATGTGAGTCTTCCCCATTTCACATTAATGAAAGTCTCTCCTCCGGTTGGTTTTCTTAATGTCTTCTAGTTTTTGTTCTTAGTTCTAAAAGTATAAAACCAAAACCCCCAAGCGCATCAGGTCTGGACATCGTATAGCTGAAATAAATTTTTTTGTTTTCTTTTTTTGTTTTTCATCTTAATTATTATTATTGCTCAGATGACGCCTTTTTCCTCGTGCTTGTCTCCTAGCAGCGACACGCCCACCCAAGCCATTTGGCCATATTTTCTGCTATCAGGCTTCTTCCTTCCCCTCCTAACTGCTATATTATCTTTCATGTTATTCTACTATTCTCAATATTATTCCTGTAAAAGCACTCATGGTCGTGAGGCAGTGTGGTTAGCTGGTTGCATACACAGGTTGACAACGGCTACCTTCACTGCCACCCCGAACATGTAGTCCTCCATCTTTGAACAGTGGTGAGTGAATTTAGTTAGGTGGGGAACTAGTAACGAAACAAAAAAAACCTTCGGGTGAGTTTCTTTTTTCCCAGATCAAAAACCTCGAGTATGTGTGTGTTGAGAGAAAGATTGGGTTCAGGGTGAAAAGAAAAAAGAATGCAACTTGTTTGTCGTTCTTTTCTAATTTTGCTTTCTTTGCGAGAACTGAAACTTTCAGAATTTTCGAACGCGGGAACTGTTTGGAGCCGCAAAAATGTTTGCTCTAGTACTTTATTGTGGTTGGAAGCAATCGCTATTGGTTTTATTTCTTTCTTTTTTATATTTTTTTTCGAGATAAAGAAATTCGTCATTTTTCCCTTTAAAGTGTTTATGGGGCGGTGGAGCACAAGTTTTTCGAAATATCAGGGAAAATATAAATACCTACTAGAAGTAAATTTGATATCTGCTTTTGATAAAATTGATATTTTCAACAAAATGAAATTTTTAGAAGTTTTAAAAGTTTTATACTTAAATCATAAACTATAGAAATTGAATTCACAAAGGTCTGAACCAAATTGAATAAAAAATTGAGAATGCGACTCGCCGTATTTTCTTTAATTTAACTTGCACTTTGAGCCCAATTATCTCGGTGTTCACAAGCTATTAGAACGCTGTCGACTGATAAAATGTGTGTCGTAATACATTCGCCAACAATATTTTAGTTTCTGAATTTTGAATATATCTGGAACTAAATGAGATAATTATGGTTTAATTGCAATTGAAAAAGTGGCGTTCTTTTAGCATAATTGTGGTGTTCGAAGTTTTCGTTTTTTTTTTTTTTTTTTGAAAAAACTTATGGACATTGTCTGAACTTAACACCGTAAAATTGTAATAGAAACACACTGTTAAGTATTGAGCATTATTCAGAAATTTTTAAATTCTGGGTAATGAAAATTTCAAGAAACCCCTCAGAAGTGACCCATCAGCAAAATTTCCATAATAATATCAACAAAAAAATTTAGTTTTTTGCTTTTCAAAATTTCGAGCAGGAACTGCGGGGAACTGTGCCAATGGTCTTTGGGCTATCGTATTTGCTCCATTAGAAGTAAACCATACACATGCACTTCAAGTTCAATTATCTCAATTTCAAAAAAAAATATATCAACGATTTTTCAATTAATAAAAGATCGGTGATATTATGATAATTATTTTATCACTTGAAGTTTTTTTGATAAAGGTTAAAGGAACCAAGATAATTGAACAGCTTCCATTGGAGACAATTCGGTTTTCTAATGTGATATAATTATTGTATTTTGAGCAGAAACTATTTTCGAAGTCGTTCAAAAGACTCAGAGTTTCAGGTTATAGACCCGCCTCATATTTTCCCGAAATGACCAAAATTTTCCCGAAAATGCCAAAAATGATGAATTCAAATATTCCCATCTCATTTTAAATGTTCGATGACAGTCATAAAATGGTGTCAACAAACTTTCAAAAAAAACTTGACGATTCCAAAAACAGAATGATCAAATTTTCCGGTGTTAATCGAGGTCACAGGCGCTACCACCCTTGGGAATGTTGTACTTTTTCACTTTTTCATTTTGCTGCAGCTACTCATAAATATCTGTACCGCTGAATGAAAAATGAGGTCTTTCTTCTTGGACAGAAGATTTCGCTCCAAATAACGATTACTCTTCAGCCACACCTTTTTCTTCTCCTTCTCCATTCTCTGAATGTGTAATGATTTGATTTGATTGGTGATCAGAAATCGGAAAACCACCAACAATAATACAACAAGAAAATTTGGACAGTAAATAAGTGTCTGAATCATTCATAGCAGTGAGAAAAAAGGCTAAGACAGGACTGAGCGAAAGAAAAAGGTGAGATCGTCTAGAAAAACAGACAATAAATGGAAGAAAGGGGGTGAAAGAATGCTGGATGGCAGGCGGCGAGGGGGGACAAAATGACACAATCTTCACCAAAATCACAAATTTTACACAATATACATAAGAAAGGGAGAAATACAGTAGTTCACAAAAGTATTTCGTCAGATGACGTTGATGAACGGTCATCGTCATTGTCATTTGCATATATTTGACCTGAAAAATATCGATTTTAATTCTAGAACTTTTTAGGACCAAAAAAAAATACCCGGATGAGTTCCATTCAATTGTAAATCTATTAATGGTATTGTTGTGGTTAATGTGGTAGCCGTGGAATATGTCATATTGTCTTCTGGAATAAAGAATCTTAAAAAATCGAAAAAAAATTGAAAATCCAAACCTGCTAGCTGTTTATTGCTACCACTTAGTAGTTGAGCATTCATGTCTTCTGTTTCAGAATTCATCGTCAATTGTTCTAATCGTTCTCGACATTCATGGATTTTTCGTTCTTTCTGAAAATGGAAAATTTAAAAATATACCGTACCGATCAATAAAATATACAATAACGTAATTTACAGTTGATTTGCAACCCTTTTGAACATTTTCAGGATTCACATAATTTTTCGAAAATTCCTAGTTTTTCAGATATTTTCCGACATTTGAAGGGGTCCTGTTTTTTCCGCTTTTAGCAGAAAAACCGACTAGAAAGGTATGTATTTCAAAAATTGGCAAATAGCTCAAAATAGGAATTTAAAAAAAACACTGTGAATGCAAAGTTTTCAATCTAGATCCGTTTTACACTCCTCAAAGTTTTCAAAGTGATCGCAAACTTGATAGCCATGCTCAAGATTCTTGAAATAGGTCAAAATGCCCAAAAATCAACTGAAAAATACGTTTTTGTATACAATATCGACCAGCACTGCATCTAAATATTCAAACCTCTTCAATTTGTTTTTGCAGTGTTTCATTTTCCTTTCTCAACATATCATATCGTTTTTGATCTACTTTTGACATTACTGCAGGACCGGTGTTTCCATTTTGTTGAACTTCGTCAGCACTTGGTGGTACTTTTATTATATGACGGATCTTTGGACCATATATTAATCCCACAGAGATGTATGTGCAGATTAGAACTGTAAATTTAGATGTGTCAGGTCTACAAATTTTCAGGATAAGAACCTGTAAGGGAGATGAATGCAAAATTGGCGTCCACTTTTCCATGAATCAATAGTGTTACCACAGGAGCTGTCACTAGTGTCATAACGGCCACGTTGTAGATGGCCAACCCAACAAATCTTGAATCATTGATAAACCTCAATTTCAAATTGCGCGTTTCGTAGGACAGAAATGTGCCAAACACCAAGAGAAGACATTTGAAACCCATTATGATGCCTGTCAAAGAAACATTTTTATTGACAAACACTCTTTTTTGATGTATATCAGCAACTACCTATCCACACTTCTTGTTGATTACTCTGGCATTGCTGCAAAACGGGCATTATCATTTCATCTTCTTCACTGTCAGCGGGCGTCTGTAAACAAAGACAAAGTTGAAAAAATGTTGGCAGAGAGAACTGTTGGCAAAAAAAACCCGCTTACAAAGAGTGGAAATTTCTGCTCGGTCAAGTGCAATGGGTCGATCAGAATCCAGACAAAACATACGAAAATGTCAACAGCGGTCAGCGCTGCGACGATTACGTAGAATTTCGTTGGGGATATTGGCTGAAATTAATTTTTGGTTATTTCAGCGAAAACGTGTGAGTAATTTCTAGCTAGGATGGAATCAGCATGTATAGCAATCATCGCACATTGTCCCATGCGGTTGGAAAAATAGAAAAGAATTGAAAAAAAAAACGTTTAGAAGTGAGTAAAAATACAGACAAGTGATTTTTTTATAATTAGAGAAGATAGATTTAGTAGAGTAGCACAGGCAAACAGATACATGCAGAATAATAAGAAAAAGTCTCGGCAAGATGCAGTATCTTGCAAAAAGAACTGCTTTACTAATTTCGAATAAAGTTCCCCTAGTTACAGTACCGCGAATTGAGTTATCATACTTTGTCTTTTTCAGCAGGAATTATTTCATCCTCTCCAAGAGAAACCTACCTAAACCATCAGCTTTCAGCTCAATTATCTCGGTTCCTGCGAATGATCCTAACAAGTCGTCAACCAACAAAATGCTTATCATAATATGAAAAGTATTTTTCAAATTGACCATGTTTTGATATATTTGACAGTAACCGAGATAATTGAGCTCAAAGGTGATGGTTAAAGTGAGCTTCTATTAAAGAACATACGATACTTTGACTTTTCAATAGGGAATAGCCCCAAAAGGGAATTCCAGAATTTGCTCAGTTATCTGAAACATTGAAAAGTTAGAGCGCTTCGAGCCAAATACCCTGTTGCTGAGAAAATATGCTGTTTTATAAAAAAATGCCAAAATTAGCACTGAAATGAGATTTGGTTGACTTCGGAACTGCTTATCTCCCTATGAGGGAATCGTATAAAAAAGTTGTCCATTACCAGAAATGAAGCTCTTATTTTGTTTAATATACTTTGAACATTTGAGGCAAGTTGAAACAATTTTAATATTTTAGGTACCCAAAATACTGCTATTGCTCTGATAGAAGCCCTTCCTAGACGTACATTTCAAGACCAATTATCTCTATTTTATGCAAGATATCAAAAATGTGTCAACTGATAATATATTCATCATGAAATCAACAAAATTTTATTAGTTGGCAAATTTTTGATATCTATCACAGCTATCGAGATATTTGAGCTCAAAGTGCACTCATAGGGTGGGATTCTATCAGAGAAAATAGGATATTTTATTTAATTGTAGTGTAAAATCAAATTTTGATAGCGCGGCGTAGTGTTAATTGGTGTTCGTGTGAGCTGAGAAAAAGAGTTAGTAAGTGAAAAGTTAGTGTGACAAAAAAAAGTGTGAGTGAGTGGTGTGAGAAAAAGTTGAAAAACATGAGTACTACATTCAAAACGGTGTAGAAGTAGTGGTTCACAGCCGAAAAAATAGAAATCAACAAGGGATTTTCCTGTTGTGTTTCAGAGCACCTGATTTAGAACCGTATTCCGCTTCTCGAGCAGTGCCCCGTACGCTTGTCCCGACGATTTGCGCATTAATGCTTGTCGACCGACCATCGTGGATATCAAGGTTCGAATACCTTCCCACGGGGTGTTCTCTTCCTGTTAGGATATTTTAATAGATATGTAGAGAATATATAAGTAAGAAATCTAATCATTTCAGATATTAATTTTTAACTGTGCTAGAGTAGAATGTTATGAGAATCAATGAGAATTTAGAAGTGTGAATTTTACAGAACAAAATCTCGATGGGGCCATCATGCAGCCAATTTTCGCAGCCGTAGCATACTACAGCATAATTTTAATGACTTTACTGAATAAAATGTTTTTCGAATCTTGGTCTTCAGAACACAAACAATATAGGGTTTGAATCTTGCATGAGGTTTTGGAAAAAAGTGGAAAAAAAATACATGGAGGGGTTGGAAAAATCATAGATAGATGCAACTTGAAATCTCTTCACAAGACAGATATCAAGAGATAGGTATCAAAAAATAGATCGCTGGTTCTCTCCCGCTAATCAGAGTATTCGGGCCTCCGTCTTAAACTTACCTTCTCGGAGAAGTTACTCAGTAATGGTTTTAACTGGAATGGTGATAAGAGGGAAGTGGTAGAAATTATATGGATGGGATGAGGTAGAACTTTTGAGATTTCAGTTATTCACAAACCTCGTCTTTTTGCCGACTTGCCAGCTGCTGATTTTCCGTAGCACCCATCCGATGAACAATCCAAACTTTCGCAAACATAGACCCATAAGCAAAAGTGAACCCAAAAAGGAGAATAGTAACACGAGCCTAAAGTTGTTTTCTTTGAAAAATTAATTTCAAAATTTTTACATACATGACAGAGGAATGGAAATAGAGATTCGGGAACGGAAATGTCATCGGACGGAAGACCGATCAAGAATAGTGAGAAAAGGCATAAGGAGCACCCGATGAGTAGAATATTATTGCATTCTGGTTGAGATTGGAAAATCACTCTGAAATATGCATTTCTAAAGAAAATAAAGGAAAAAAAGAACTCACAATCGTTCGCGATGTTTTTGAGTAAATATATAGATAAGTACACAGGCAAGAATTCCGAGAACTGAGAAGAATATTGTGGGGTAGTAGAACTGAAAGAGGGGATATTAGAAAAAAAATTTCGAAGTGCTCGGAAATTTATAACCGCAAACGCTCTAATGGGAGCCCATTCCAAACGTGCACTTTGAGCTCAATTATCTCGGTTCTTTCGTAAGATATCACAAAATTATCGACTGATAAATTGTTGTCAATTTCACGAAAAACATTTCATCGATTGACAAACTTTCCATATCTTGCACAGGAATTGAAATAATTGAATTCGAAGTTGACAGTGCGGAGGGGGGGGGGGGTCATTCTGTTACATGTTTAAATTATTCAATTATTGAAGTTTATACGCGAAGTGGTTGACCGAGTTTTTATGAAACTTCTTGAAAGATTTTTTAACCTACTTATCACTGTTAAAAATCGCTTGCAAAATGAAAAAGGACGGAACAACGTTTGTGGGGTAAGAGAGACTGTTTAGGACTAGAAATTGTCCGTTAGCTCGCAGCGCACTACAGTAAGATGTGAAAAAATGTTTTCAGTTGGTTTTGACCATTTTCAGAAGTGTTGAGCTCGGTTGTCAAGTTTCCGACAAAAACAGACCTTGATTGATAACTTTGCATTTGCAGAATTTTTCGAAAGTTCCTATTTTCATCCATTAGCAGATTTCTAAAGGACGCTTTCTTTTGGACCCTTGTTGTAATGAAAATGTAAAAAAACAAGTATCTTTCAGAAATCGGCAAATATCTGAAAATTAGTAATTTTTTAAAAATTATGTGAACGCAAAACTCTCAGTCTAAGTTAGTTTCACAAACACTAAAATTTTCAAAATGATAGGCAACCTGATGAAACTCTTGAAAAGGGTAAAAACGGTTGAAAGTCAAATGAAAAATAAGATTTTGTAAATCTTATTGACCGGTACTGTATGTCTCAAATCTGCAGCTGAATTTTTAACCAATTATCTTAATGGTGAAGTGAGCTAAATGTTTTTTTTTCCACTAGTTCAACTATTCAAAGAATTTTTCTAGACGGAATTATACAGGAATTCTCTATCTTTAATGACCAAATCTCACTTCATTAGACACCGTCATTGCATGCTTCTTGATTACTGTAGAATCCGGTGGTGGACCTCTTCCATTCAACCACTGCTCTTTATTGTACCACTCCAAATCGCCACTAGTCGTGTCATAATACCCCATGATCTTATATTTTCCTCCTTGCATCTGCTCGATCTGCGTTCTGGCTATACGATCTCCTGAATCCGAAAACATCACTTTTCCAGAAACCCCTCGGAACGAAGTATTCTTGACACATTGGAACAGTGTATCTGCTATAATCTTATTGTCATACGAAAAGTTCTCCAGTCGAATATGCGACGGCAAGTTGTTGCGAGTGCAATTAAATGCCAATGCGAGAGCCCTGTTGTTGAACTTTCATTAATTTTTGAGTTCAATTGAATCGACTCACCAAACGGCGTCATATGCTAACGGAGCTTCTGGGAAGCCTCCAACATTTGCAGTTTCTTTTTGGAAGTGACGAGTGAGACGTTCTTGGAATTGCATGCCGGTCATGTCGGATATCGCTGGCAAATTGTCACGAGACAACATTACACTTTCAGTGGTGAAATGGTATTCAGCAGCAGCAGCCATCTGGAAGTCGGGTCTTTGTGTTGGAGGTAATAATAAATAATTATAGATTCCAAACCTGCTCCGCCGTACAATTCAAATGTTCTTCCGGTGGTGGGTAGTACCAGGTGTCGGCGTACCATCCAATAAAAAACCAAACATATCTTCGACCATACAAGCCATGATGGTAGGCCTGGCACAAAACCTTTCTCGCCTCTGTCACATAGAACAATCCAACAATTATCCTGGCGTCTTGACGCTGCAGCGTTTTCATCGCATCCGTTGGGTCACCATAGAAACTTTGTCGGTCTACGCGGATTCCTTTTTTCCTAGCGATAGCCTTAAATAATTTTTTTAAAAAACAATTTATTCAAATTACGGTACCTCTAAATCTTTGGCAGTTGTCACGAACACTTCTTCGACAGACATCAAAATAGTGAATCGTTTCCATTTGAACTTCTCCATAATATGAATCCTGAAAAAATTAATTTTTTTGAACTATTATTTGATTGTTGCCTTGCCTAGTTGGATTTTGCATATTGGCTGATGGATGTGTCCTGAACAGCGTTGGAAATCGGTTCCTGTTAGATAAAGCCGGTGAACTGCCTCCGTAGGATAACACAACAAGTTTCCATACAGGTGCAGCTTCGGCGATTACGGTAGTTACAGGACTGCATCCGGTTAGGAGCATCAGTTTTGTTGGTGGTTTATATAGGAAATCGTATAATTGTTGCATAGCGAGACCGGGTTGGCACTGAAAAAACGTTTTTAGAAACATTCCAGAGAGTTAGGGTCATACCTGAGAATTATGGTTAGTCATATTGAGAACATAACCGGGTAGTATATCTAATCTATTGTTCACATCCTCCAATGCCATTTGTACCGCCGGAAGACAAGCCTCTCCGCCTGCCCATCCGCCGGAACCAGATTCCATCGGAAACGTTCCACCGATATGGAGGGTGACCGGTTCGGCGGTGGCAGCCCAAACGATACTGCCCCATAGTAATAACCAAGATGTGCTAACGAACATCTATTTCATATCTGAAACTGGATAAGAGGATTGGAATGGGTGTTGAGGGGCGAAGTGTTCTAAAGAGGATATGAAAATGTTGAGGGGCGAAGTGTTCTGAAGAGGATATGAATATACGGATAAAATGGATATTACGGAGACCAAAAAAAACTCCGTTATGTCTCGAAGGTCTTGTACGGGACTCCGGTCCGCGGAGGGTGAGGCAGAAGATGTGAGATGAAATGAGCAAACGTTGTTATTGCGGGCGACTAGGCAAAACGCATGTATAACATCGCCTACGCCCAGTGCGACACAATTTCGCCGAGCCCCAGGGGACTGTCGCCGGGGGCTCTCAGATGGCAAAACCTTGATTCGGCAACCAGAGGGACCCCGGCACATTCTAAAAGTTACATCAAAATGTCGCCGCGGCAAAAATAAGAAGTAGTGGAAGATTTATGGCAACATTGGTGACCAGGAGAGGAGGGATTGTAAAGGAGCGGAAAAGAGAGAAGAAGTATCAGAAAGATTTTGAAAGGCGATATCGAATTTGCAGGAAGACGGATTTGATGAATTGGGGTAGGGCTTTGACAAATTGGGAAAGGAAATCACGTCATTGGTGTTTGGAAAACAACGGAGGGTGGATTTTTGGGAGTTTAGAAACTTCTAATATGACTTTGAATCAAATCATAAAAAGTTATTCTGGCTCAGGTCCAGTTCTAACGGATTATACTTACTGAAACGTGTTGTCTTCGAAGCAATTTATCTTGGTTCCTACATGTAAGTGATACCAGATACATCTCACCGTATTTCCTTTATTAGAAGCCTACCCAAACCGTCAACTTTAAGCTGAATTATCTCGATTCCTGTAAAAGATATCAAAAAGCTGTCAACTGGTAGATTATTTATCATAAAATCGCCAATATTTTTTTTAGTTGACAAACTGTTGGTATCTTTTACAAAAATAGAGATAATTGAGCTTAAAATTGATGATTTGGGGATAACTTCTGATAAAGGGAATACGGTAATTGTTTTAGTGAAAAAGGAAAAAAATTGGATTTCAGTTTTTTTTCCAGAAAAATACGCGATTTTAAAACCGAACTAAGGAATTAAGCATTTTTCATTTTGCGCTTAATTTCAAAATTCGTAAAAATAATTACGAAAATAATTAATTTTCCAAATGAAATTTGAAAAAATTTGAATCTGGTCAAAAAAATATTGACAAATTAGAGACGGCAAGCAACATCAAAACAAAATTTCAATTTTGGAATTAAAAACAAAGAGGAGCATGAAAAATGAGCAAATACTGTAAATGTTCTAATATAAGCCTATTTATACGTGGACTTTGAGCTGTCAACTGAGGCAGCGTTAGAAAATTTTACAGAGAAAATTTCATCAGTTCTTGATATCTTTTACAGAAGTCGAGATAATTGAGCTTGAAGTGAACGCATTGGATGGACTTCTATTAGAAAATTCACGGTAGGAATTTGAGCGAACGGAAAATGGGAGTAGACCCGAAAAACCAATTTCTTGCAAAATTTCAACTTTTTGATTTTTAGAAAGCAATTCACTCAGCTTGGTACGTCTTTAAAGACAACTACGCTCTATTCAAACTTCAAAAGTTTACACTTTGGTCCCAAAAATCGCCTAGAAGGTAGTTCATTAAAATTAAGCAAAAAAAAGAGGGACAAGAAATAAGCGGATTGCAACACTGCCTCGGGGAAGGCGGGAATGGTGTGAAAAAATGATTTTGAGAAGAAAAAAAACGCATAAAGTAGGAAGTTCTGAAGTTATTTTTATTGGGATGGGGAAGCCAGTCGAGGAAAAAACCCCATTTGTGAGGGCAATTCATTCTAGCTGCTTCAATTGTTGCTGCGTCGACTTTCACTGGGGTGAAGAAGTCCAAGAAGTGCATCATCATCACGCAAAAAGAGTGCGGGATTCTATTGCGGGAGGGCAACTCGACACAAGAGTTCGCAATCAAACTCGTAATGAGATTTGATTTTCGGGAAGCGAGCAGCAAGCAGCTCGTCTCTCCAAAATTTGATTCTGAATTTTTGACGTCTATCATAGCTGAATTGGCGGAAGGAGAGAAAAAGAATCCGAAAAAATCTTGAGAGAAGAATTGGTTTCTGCTCTTTTGGAAACTTAAAATAACTTCCTTTCTTCTCTAGTCTTATGATTAAATTAAAGAAATGAAAGTCGTTTGCATAGTTGTAAAAAGAGAAAGAAGTGAAGAAAAATGCGACAATTGTTTATGTGAAGGAGAGCGGAAGTTGAAGAAGACGTCTTTTCAACCCGCGGTGACGAGCGCGAGCCCTTCATTCACAGAGAGAGTGAAAAAAGGACCAGCGTAAACTTCGGAGGCCTCTTTCCACCAAATATCTGGTCGCCAATTAATTCCATGTGACCGAATATGTATGAGAAGAAGGTCCTTTTTGGTGGACTGGGTTTGAACTATAAATTATTCAAGATGGGTTGAAAGTCGTTGAAAACTTTTTTTTCACAACTTTCTTCCCTCCTGAGGGTTTTTGGTGAGCAAACGTGAAATCATTTTTCAAAAAACGGAGGAGAAGGAATTTTGAATTTTCCTAGATTTTCTTAAAAATGATGGCTGACAGGGACAGGACAATGATATGATGGATTAGATGAAAAAAAGTGTATGTTCTTGTCGGAAAAGAGAATTTTTTTTCAAAATGAAAGGAAATTTCCGAATCAAGCCATTGTTTATTAATGACAACCGGAACAACTCCATTTTCTGCCGAGAGCTCTAAGCGGTGGCCGTTCAACTCGTCGTCGTGTTTTCTTTCTATTTCTATCTTCTTCTCTTTTTTTTCTCGCTCGATTTGTTCGGTGCCTATGTGATTAGATGCGCAAAAAAAAAGTGAAAATCGAGGGGTGGGCGAACGAAGAAGAATCTGATTCTACGATGCATAAATAACATTGTTTAGTTTCTGGAAGTGAAGGGGAGAAGAGGAAAGGAAAAAGAAAGAAACAACATGATTGGGCGTGACTTGATTAAGTTTCAAAAGTAATTTCGCAGTAATTTTGCGCAAAATTGAGGTCTAGACTTTTTCCCTTTTTTTTGGCCACATGTTTACTTATTTTTAAAGAGTACAACTCAAACCTTCCAACATTTATTTTTCTGACAGCAAGTGTTCTTGAAATGTTTTGCATGTGATTGGATTTGAAAGCAAAATTTTAAATGTTCTTTGCAGGTGCAAAAAAGCCAAACAGCTGATTGAATCTATAGCAATAAGAGTTCAGAACTTTTGGACAAAATACAATATAGAAAAATACTTAAATTGAAGTTGGGAAGATAGAAAAAGAGTCTGAAATATGATCAGTGATTTGTATGAACCCCAGACACATATAGCAAGCACAAAAAATAGCGAAAAAAAACCCTCACCCGAGATGTGCCCGCCTAATCGAGTGAAGATGGGTGGGCTTCAGTAAAAAAGGGACATTTTCAAAATATCTCAGGCAATAGAACCCTCCTAACTACACTCAAAAACTGAGAAAAATTGGAGCAGTTTTGTGCATCTCTTGCATGGAAATTTGAAGAAGTGATGGCTGAGAAAAAAAAACGTTGGAAGAGTGAATGAAGAAGTGTGCAAGTGTAACTATGAAGAAGAAAAAAAAGAAGAATTGGGTCCCGAAGAAAAAAAACTGCGCGAATTGGAAGAGCATTGCCCTCGGGGCGCGCCTAGTTCATCATTCACATTGTTTCGATGCGATTCACATACGCGCGAATGAAGTGGAAAACACCCTTCTCTTCCTTCCAATTTTCTTAGTTTATCCTGGACCATCGGAAACTGGAAGAAAAGAGAGAATGTAAAAATAGGTACTAGGTGAGCGAAAATCAGAATTTCATTTTAGCGGGTTTACAAATGGTCAATGAATTCGAAAAATCGTAATCTGCTGGAATTAAAATAGAGGAACCAAGAAATTTAATAAAAATTGAGATTTTGAATAAAGTTCAAATGCGAATTCCGAAAACCCGAAAATTCCGTGAATGCTAGAAGCCCATCTACACGTGCACTTTGAGCTTAATTATCTCGGGTCCTGAACGAGATATAAAAAATATCTCAACTGACAAAACATTTGCGATATTACGACAAACGATTTATCAGTTGGCCGCGTTTTTATAGATTCGACAAGAACGGAGATACATTAGCCCAAAACTGAAAGTTGAGGGGTCCTTCTATTTTTATAGTATCGTGATAATATTGAAAAGCCGTAAACTGCTAAGGTCAGAGTAAGAAAATATAAACTACAAAAATTGACAAAAATTGAGCTATTAAAAAGTAAATTCATGTGGGAATTAGGAAAATGACAATACCGTAATTTTTTAAAATAGAATCCCACCCTACACGTCCTTGAGCTCAATTATCTTGATTCCTGGGAAAGATAACAACGTTTGGTCAACTGATGCATTATTGGTGATACTATGATGAATAATTGATCAGTTGACCAAATCTTGATATCTTTCACAGAAATCGAGATAATCGGACTCGAACTTGACAGATTGGTGACTCTTCTAGCATAATTTTACGGCATTTTAATCTAAAATAGAGTAGAAAAAACTGAAATTCTATATAAAATATTGAAAATGAAAATTGTGAGTAGAAATGAAGAAAACAGTACTGTCAACGGTTATTTTTAAATCAAAATGTTGAACCATTTTCCTAAAAAATCGAATTATTTTCTGAAATTGAAATTTATAAATTTAATAATTAGCTAAATCGACAAATTTCAATTTATCTTCTATTCTTGAAAGTTTTCCGAAAAAAAAACTTTTGAAATTGTTTGAAAAACCAAATATTGTCGGAAATGGATCATTTGAATTGAGAGCCTAAAAATAACCTAAAACTCTAAAAAACGCAAAACCTGAAAACCTCAAAAACTAAAAAACCTTATCTTCAAAAAAATTTTCATATTTCCTCGAGCTTTTATCCGTTTATATACCAACGGCTACAAAAACAGTCAAATTTGTCGAATCGCACATTGGATTGACGCAAAAAAAACCCAATAGGCTATATTTCACTCCTTGGCGCCATTACTTCGTACGTCAATAAAACGATTCGAATCTGATGGAAAACGATGCGTCGAAAATTGCTCTCCGAAGCAGCTGACGCGCTATAGGTACTATTTTATAGTAGATCAGTTACTTCTTATCTCGCTTTTGGATCTTTTTTCAATGGTGGCAGTAAATTCCCAGAACTCATGCTTAGAGATTAAAGTTTTACAAAAACGTGGGTCCAAAACCAGAATCAATTATGTTGCTGCATATTGTTTATTCCATAGCTTCCTCCTCTTCTCCCAAAAAGTTATGACCGTCCCCCGAGTAGCCCCATTCTGCTTCTGCTACATTAGTTTTCTTTCAAAAGTCATAAAACACAATGTCACATGCAAAACAAGTAGCAATTGTGCACCAAACTCGATGACAACAAAGCCGAATTAGGTTACATCACTAAATCCATTTGGCAGTTCTTGTTTTCTCTTTTTTATACACATACGGGCACTAGAAAGAACGTCTACTAGATGAAAAATGGAAAAAAAGAAAGCAAATTTAGAGCTGGAACAGAAAAAAGAATCCAGGAAGAATCACGGAAAATAAGGGACTAGGAAGAAGAAGAAAAAATTTAAAAACAATGGAGCAGAAGGAAAACGAGATGATTAAGATAGTTGTCTTGTCAAAAGGGCTGATGTAAAATGTGTGTTGTTGGTTAAACATGTCAAAATAAAAGACAGAGGGGGGGGGGGAAGTCATCGGAAATGAGTGAGAGTTCACAGTTGGTTGAAGGGGAGGCATTGATCCTGGGATGATAATACGAGCGAGAAAGAAGGAAATGAGAGCTCCAGTGTGAGTAACAGGCAGGACAAAAATAATGGAACACGAGAAAAGATAGTGATGAATGAAGCCGGAGAGAGATAGAGCAAGCGAACCGAGACCTGCGGAGGGTACTAGGGAAATCGTAGCCCAGCAGGTGAGAGGATGGTTTGTAGAAGAAGACTTATCGCACGGATTTTGTAAAAATCAAGTCACTTCTCGTTTCGCCACCACTCAAAATGTTTGATGTGTTTTGATTATTAGATTGATGTGCGCCACACCCCAACGGCAAAACAAAGGGAGAGCAGCAGATGTGTTTCAAAACGTTTCTGTCTATCTGTCGCTCTTCAAAATTTCAAAAAGAAAAGATTCAAAGTACAGAATCACACACTTTTATTGAATTTCCAGGTGTCTGATTGACCACACAGGCAGCAGAATTTTTCATCCGGAGTTTAATTAATATTTCTATTGCTTTTCGAAAAAATCTATTATCTAAGTGGTGGAAAAATTCAAAAATTTTATAAAAATGTGTGTAGTAAGAATGCCTCAAATGTGGAAGATGATTTTATTCTGAGTATAATACAACAAGATTCTTTTTCTGAAACTTCCTAGTAATTGAGTAAATCGTTTTTGAAAATTGCTATTTCCGCATTGAAAAGCAATTTTTCTGGGAATCATACACAGTACCGGTCAATATGATATACAAAAACATAATTTTCTGTTGATTTTCCACGATTCTGACTATTTTCAGGAGTCTGGATGTCGGCTTCCAAATTTCCGATCATTTTGAGAATTTTCAAAAATGTAAAACAGATCTATATTGAAAACTTTGCATTCACAGAATTTTTTGAAAATGGCTAGTTTTCCAAACTCGTTTTCCATCTTTTATACCATTTTGTACTGAAAATGTGAAAAAAACAGGTGTCTTTCGGAATGCGGCCAGTAGCTGAAAAACTAGTAGTTTTCAAAAAAGTCTGTCGATGCCAAATTTTTAATCAAGGCCCCTTTCACATCTTTCAAAATTTTCCAAGTATTATAATATGCGCAGTAATCTCTAGATATGCTATTTTTTGAACCTATCCTGAAATTTTTATCAAAATCGGTGTTCACAATTTGTTGAGATTCCCTTTTGAAGTCTTGACACGCATTAAAAAATAATTTTAGAGAGTTTATTTGAACCATTCCTTATATGTATAAGGTTTCAATCAAAAATACACGTTTCTCAAAAAATAACTTTGGTGTTAAAGGGTATAAAAACAAATCCAGGAAGACAAGATGTCCCAAAAAATAGCAGACACAAACAAAATCACTGAGTTAAAAGAACCTTCCTAACTTCATTATCCGAATCGGTCCACTCAACGACAGCCAGACCGGTCTCGGTGCTTTTCGGGACCGGCGGAGCACGGAGACCAACGATTCCAGTCGAGAATGTTGATGGTCGGCTACTAGTTGTGTTCTCGGCCGCGGCGTCTTCGGCTCCAGACCCTTCTCCGATTTCATTCAAATCGCCAACACTTGTTGTGCTTTGATCAGCGGTCGGTTGAGTAACATTTGCGGGATTCGATGTGATTTCATTAGTCACTTCTTGGAAGGCAAGCAGAGTGACCGGTTTGACATTTTTAACAGGTTTAGGGGTTGGTGGTTCAGATGGTACTGTGGTGGTGGTGGATGTGGTCGCGACCTCTTCTGTCGTGGGTTCCGTCGACAGCACAGTAGTAGTCGTCAGCTTTTCTGTAATGCTTTCAGAGGTTGTTGTGGTTGTTGGAACTTCTGTGGTATGTTGTGTGGTCTCCATTCGAGCTTCTGTAGTGGAAGGTTCTTCTGTAGACGACGCGAAAAATTCCGAAGAGGCAACTTCATCCTTTTCCAGTACAGATGGCTCCGTGAATTCAATTACAGGTGTCTCGGTTCCCAATGTTTCCTCTGATGTGGGCGCTATAGCAGTTGTCATCTCTTCAGATTCTTCACCTCCCTCTGATCTTTCCGGCAACAGTTCTCCGTTTCCAAGCTCCTCCTCTGCAGCCTTCAAAGCTTCCTCTGCACTTTTCAAGGTCTCCTCTTCCGAATTCGTTCGAACAATTGGCAACGTAGCTACTCCTAACCTTTCTAAGAATGTTGGATGCCTGTCTCCACCTTCTGTCGGCCTGATAGTCGGTTCAGGTGTCACAAAAAGTGTAGATCGTTCTAGAATCACTGGGGACAGTGTCGGTTTTGGTTGCAAAGTCGCTAGGTATTTCGGACGACCGTATCCGGAATTTGCTTGGTTGTAGGCTGGCGGCGCGGTGGCGTATCCGTTATTAGCATATCCATCCTCTGAGATCCATGATGGTCGGTTGTAGTGAGATTGTGGTTGTTGATAAGAGTTTTGGTTTTGCTGCTGCCAATTATTTTGACGTTGATACCCGTAAAAATATGGTGAGTAGTAGTTTTGGTTGTTCTGCAAAGAATTTTTAAGTTCATCAATGTTTTAAGTAGAAATCTAGTGGATAAAATAGTTTAGAGAAGTTTCAATTAGAGTAATTGTTGCCGAGGGAAATCGTTTCTCCTATTCGAATCGCTGAGAATATACAGTACCAGTCAACAAGATATACAAAAAGTATTTCTTAGTTGATTTTCCGTCATTTTTTGGCTAATTTTTAGGAGTCTGGTGATTGGCTGTCAAGTTTCCAAGCACTAAAAAATTTAGAGAATGTAAAACAGATCTAATTTGAAAACTTCGAATTCATAAGTCTTTTTGAAAATTCTCAGTTTTTCAACAACTTGTCGATTTTGGAATGACACCCTTTAGAAACATTTTTGTATTAAAAATTGATAAAACTGGTGCATTATAGGAATCGGCAGATAGCTGAAAAAATACTAACTTTCGAAAAGTTTTTTGAATGCAAAGTTTAGAATTTAGGTTTGTTTGTACACCCTCCAAAATTTTCAAAGTGATCGGAAACTTGACAGCCAAGCTTCACACTCCTAAAATGGTAAGAATCAACTGAAAAATTAGTTTTTGTTTATCTCTTCGGCCGGTACTGTATTAAGTAATCAAACATCAAGAGATCAAGTAACCCGAACCGTTTGTGATGATGACCATTGCTGAGGTTGATTCTCGTAGTATTGCGCAGCGTTGTAGTACGGTGACACTCCCCACCCGTATTGCCGACGGAATCTGAAAAAGAAGTTTCTTTCTTTTTCAAATGAATCTTCGGTTTTTGATGAAAAAACTAGTTTTAACTTCAATTCTATCTCAAGACAGAATTAAAAACAGACAAACGTTCAAAGGTTGTTTTGGACCGATACGCACCTGGTTGGAATAGATTCTGAAAATATGAATAAGAAGAAAAGTACAGCCAAAACTTTAGACATGTCTTCTGAATAATTTGCTACCTACAAGTAAGACTTGCAAAAAGAGGAATGAAGACGCTTTCGGGGGAAAACACGCAAAAATAAAATCGCTTGTGTCAAGGTTATGTTACAGATTAAGTCGTCAGCCTCAAGTCATCCGCTTACCATCTCGGATTTATATCATTCATCCTTTTGTCCTCCATTTTCCGGTGTGAATCATCTTAGAAGACTGTTGGATCATCTGAAGGCTGAAGACATTTGGGGAACTAACCATTGGTGTTGAACTCTGAGAAACAAAAATCGCAAGAAGAGAGGAAGTAGTGACCAGCGATCGCCCACGCACAGGACAAAACGATGAAAAACAGATAGTGATATGATATGACAAAGATGATGTGTGTGTTCGACGACTAGAGGTGATTCCGCCTTTTAAATTTTTTGATATAAAACGATGGGAGTTTTTTCTAAATTCAACATTCCCAATTCTTCATATTCAACATGTCTTCTCTTCTTAAATCAGTCGTTTTCCTAGCACTTGTCTCTTACTCCTGCGCTGGAATTCTTTCAAGGTAAGTTGCTTACTTTAAGTTCATTTCAATATAAAAAATATTTCAAATATAAAAATTTCCAGAGTCAAACGCGGATCTTACGGTCCACCAAGCAACTACTCACCACCTGAAAGCCAGTACGGACCTCAATACGGACAACAACATGGAGGCTACGGTAGACCAAGTAGCTATGGAAATGGTGGATACGGTAGACCACAGCAATATGGTCCAGGAAGTGGTGGTTATCAGCAAGGAGGAAACTATCCAGGTGGCGGATTCCAAGGGCAAGGAGGCTTCCAGGGACAGAATGGTGGATTCCAGCAAGGCGGAGGACCTGCCTTCCAAGGTGATCAATCTCAATTCCAAGGCGGACCACAAACCGGAGGATTCCAACAATCTCCACCAGTTCCACAACCAGGACAATCTGTTCCAGCTGTCCCAGGAGCCACAAACCCAGACTACTCTACCGTAGGACAAACCGCACCAGTTGCTGCGCCAGGAGCCGGAGATGCTGGATTGTTCGGCGGAGGATCCCCGACTGGTGGATTTGATGACCCAGCTTTGGCCGCTGATGCTAAGCCAGCAGGAAAGGCCACTGCTGATCATGTAACAGAAACTTCTTCTGGAGCTTCGAGAAAGTGAATTAGAACAATAAAATTGTACTAATAACTCTCAAAAATACACCAAACTCAAAATTTCACAACGCTATTTATTTGCGTCATTTTTACGCGGAAAATCTATATACTTTCAAATTGCATGGGGATGGGTGGATCAAGAAATACTACTTGTACAAAGTATGGCGAGAGAGAAAAACAGCTGCGGGTCAAAGTAGAAAAAAAGGTATGGCGAGATTTAATATAAACCGCCTAGAGAGAAAAAAACCGAGTCATTTACAGTACAATAGGTTATGTTTAGGCGGGCTGGATGCTTTAGAACATATGGGTGTCGGCGTCTTCCTCTTGGACAGACTCGAGCACGGCGGAGCTCTCAACAGTGGAACGATGACGGGCGAGAACACGGAGGAGTGGGCGGAGTGCGAGCCACCTGAAAAAATTTAAATTTTGAGCAAAAATTATTACAATTGTGAATAATGTTTAAAATTGTATCAGAGCGATAAGGTGGAACATGTTGTGGACGAAACATCATGATTTTGCTTTTTTTGAAATATTTTTTGAAATTGAAAAATACAGTACTGTTTCATAAGATATCGAAAAACATTTTTTTTTAGTAGATTTTTAGCCATTCTGCTCATTTTCAAGAGTCTGGAACTCGGTTATCATGTTTCTGACCACTTTGAAAATTTCGGGAAGTTTAAAACAGACTTAAAATAAAAACTTTGCATAAATAGAATTTTTAAAATATTCCTAGTGAGTCAAACATTTGCCGTTTATTGAAATACACCCTTTTCGGCCCGTTTTTGGATTTGAAACGTGAAGAAAATAGGTTTCTTTCAAAAATACAAGTACCAGAAACTTTCAAAATTTCAAAACAATTCTGAGAATGTGAAGTTCTTAATTTAGGTTTGTTTCACACCCTTAAAAAGTTTGAAATTGATGGAAGACTAGACACAACGAGCTCTAGACTTCCGAAAATGGTCAAAATGACAGAAAATACTGTAAACCATTTATCCCTAACTTACCATTGTTCGGTTGGAAGACGATGCTCAAAGTCAGTCTCTTTTTTGAGATCTTGAACTGGCGTGAACACAACCTTTCGACCCTTGAGACCGAGAAGAGTGGCGGTATGTGGAGTTTTAGCGATGACCTTGTTGTCTCCGGTCAGATTCTCCTGAGAAAAAAAAAGTTAAGTTAAGTTCCAATCAATCTCAAAACTCGCTGTATACCTTGAGCTGAATCAGCAAGAACTCCAAAGCGCGCGCGGCCAACTTGGTGCCCATATTTCTGTCGAATGGAGTTGGTGATCCTCCCTGTTGAACGTGTCCCAGAACGTTGACACGAGTGGTGAACTGTTTCTTTCCTTCCGAATTGAACAGATTTTGCACGAAATCGGTGGTCAGGTTCTTGTCAGCCCACTCGTTTCGAACAACCAGGTAACGCTTGGCACCAACTTCCATCTTGGAAAGAATGACATCAACGTCATCAGAGAGGTCTTGAACGGTGAATGGCTCCTCGAAGATGTAGGCGTTGTCGGCTCCGGAACTTATGGCAGAGAGAGTGGCCAGATATCCACAGTATCCTCCCATAGTTTCCACGATAAACACACGACGTTTGGTTCCAGTGGCAGATTGCTTGATTTTGTCGATCATTTGACAGATTTCATTGATAGCAGTGTCGGATCCAAGGGACACCATTGTTCCTAAAATATTTTTGTTATATATGAACTCTCTATTTTTCATATTGTTCAAATTATGGCTCACCTGGAACGTTATTGGAGATGGTGCATGGAATCACGCACATTGGAATACAAAACTCTGGGAACTTGTCACGAGCCTCAGCCAGAAGAATGGTGCTGTGATAGGCTTCAAAACCTCCAACAAGCAGAAGAGCCTGGATGTTGTGCTTCTTAAGTTGCTCGGCAATCTTTGGCATCGTTTCAGCAGTTGGAAGACTCTTCTGAGTACCCAGGAACGATCCTCCGTACATTGCCCAGTTGGTGACATCAGACCATTTGAACTGTTTGAAGGATCCATTGGCAAGACCTTCGAAGCTGTCTTCAATACCGAACACTGTGCACTGATGGTAGAGAGCCATTCTGACATAGGAGCGAACTGCAGCGTTCATTCCTCCGGCTGGTGCTCCGACGTTGATGACAGCAACGTTGAACTTGTGCCCTCCCGAGAGGTTATCTTTTTCGACAGTTCTCATCTTGGTGAGAAGTTTGTAAGTGTCAAGGTTCCTCTGGAAACTACGACCACGGAGAGCGACAGCAGTATCCCAGTCTTTGTCTGCCATTGCCTTTTGAACCATTTGAGTACGCTCAACACACTTGGTTAAGGGAACTCGGACCATCACATTTCCATCAATCGAAATGACACAAGGCTCTGACTCCTGAAAAAAGCTTATTGATAACTCCAGCTGAATTACGGTGAACTACTTACCTCAGTCATCTCCATCAATGCGAACACCGCTTCAGCACCCATTCTGCATCCAAGAAGACGATCGAATGCTGATGGAGCACCTCCACGTTGAACGTGTCCCAGAATAGTGACGCGAGTATCGTACTTCAACTTATTCTTGACTGCTGTCTTGACATCTTCAGCAGTTATGGGCTTGCCATCCCGATCAATAGCTCCTTCGGCAACAATGATGATGTTCAAGCGTTGTCCTTCGGATCTCATCTGGGATAGTTTGTCGCACAACACATCACGCCAGTTCTCTGGTGCTGGCCATTCAGGGATGAAACAGAAGTCTGCTTCAGAAGCCAACGCAGCAACCAACGCAAGGTAACCACAATGACGGCCCATGACCTGGAAAAGTTTATTTTTGTTTGCCTTTATTTTCCGAAAAATCTGGCACACCTCAATAACGAAAGCTCTCTGATGACTCTGTGCAGTGGCAACCACAGCATCAATCGAACTGATGATACGCTGAAGAGCCGAGTCGGTTCCAATGGTCATATCAGTTCCACAGAAATCGTTGTCAATGGATCCGACAAGTCCAACAATCTGGATGTATGGAATCTTCTTGGCCATGGCTGGGGTGACGCGGTCAGTGCGGACGAGCTCCTGGACAAGATCGGTCCACTCGAGACGGAAAGTGTTGGCTCCGGTGAGAGATCCATCTCCTCCAATGCATACGAGACGTCCGATTCCACGGTTGATGAGGTTGGTGGCGGCCTAAAAGAAAACAGAATTTTTTTTGAAGTTCTGGTCACACTTGTCAACGGGGCAGCTGATAACTCGATTTGAAATATTATGTTGTAGAATTCGTCAAGCTCTCTCATGTGGTATGCTGTATTGTCCACAATTTTAATGTTGAAACGCGTTATCAGCCGGACCGTCGTCAAGTGAAGTTCAGGTTATTTCGATGCCACAATTCTCCATGATATCTCACTTACCTTCAAACGTCCTTCACGAGTTCTGAACTCTGAAGATCTAGCTGATCCTATGATAGTTCCTCCTTGTTGGATGATATCCGAAACCGTGTTCCATGTGGCCTCCTTGATGAAATCACCACCCTCGATCATTCCCTCGTATCCCTCATAGATCAGATAGACCTTGCAACCACAGTAGATGGCCATACGAGTGATACTGCGCACAGCGCTGTTCATTCCTGGAAATGTTTGATTTCAATTTTTCCATAATCAGAAATTGGTTACCTTGAGAGTCTCCTCCGGATGTGTAAATAGCAAGAGTGCGTCCCTTGAAAATGTCCGATGAAATCTCTTCTCCTTCTCTGCCAGAAGTTGGGACGATCGAGTCGAAACGGCGAAGAGTACGTTGGTGGATGAGTTCCAGCTCTTCTGGAGAGATCATTGAGTTGTCCTCGGCCATATTTGAATTATGCAATGTTCTGGAATTCAGGGAATTTTATACGGAAAATTTTTAGACCGAAAACTAGAGGTAAAGAGTGGGAAATATACGGAAAATGAAAATGATCAGATCATCAAACTGAAAAAAATGAAATGACCAGAGCGAACACAGAAAGTTCAAAAACAAGAGAAACGAATGCGGTGATTGGAAAAAAAAAACCAATAATGACCGCAGCGGACCAACGAGACTGTGTGTGGCGAGAGAGTACGAGACGCAGACACATCAAGAGTGTGTTCAAAGAAACAAACAACTGCGCGCGCACGAGGAGGGGTCAAAATATGATACTCCTGCGGACCAGTCGAGGTTTTACACACACACATAGAAAACAACAAGAAGGAAGTGGCGAGAGCGATTGGAAAAGGAGACGGAGAGAGAAAGAGTAAATAATGAGTAGATGGAACGCATGTGGAAGAGAGGCGCGATTTTTTTTCCATTTGGTTTGAAATTTGAAATCGACGATGTCCTTGGGAAATGATGCAATTCACACTGACATCTATGGCAGGCCTCGAGGGATGAGGGAAAAAAAAATAAATGGAGGGTTTGAACTTTTGGTCCGAGGTACCCATCCGAGACAAAAACAAGAATTGCATTTTCTCTCTCTCCCTATCAAATCGACTTTCTATTCTTTGGCAAAAAAAAGAAGCAAAGTGCGTATAGAGAGAATAGCGTAACACAGAGAGGAAGACTGGGATCGAGGAGAAACGACAAAACGCAAAAAAAAAAACGAAAAGCGCGGTCCTCTTCTTGCCTCCTCTTTTCTTCCCCAACTGCTCAAATGTTTTCGACGTGCCAAAACGCATTTTCGGATAGACATCGGAAAAAGCGAGAGGGGACAGAGATTGTGCCCTCGGGGGCCCCTATGTAATCTGTGTGTAGTGATTTGATCAATGACATGCATGAGGAAAAAACATTTATCAATTTTGATAAAGAGAAATTAAGATAGAGAGAAAAACAGAAGGAAATGGGAAGAAGGGAAGACGAACAAGTACTACTAATGCGGGTAAACAGTCAGTTGAATCGCAAACACACATACACACAAACTGCCGTGGATTTCAAATCAACAGTGCGAAACGATAGGTGTTTGTAGTTGGTCGGTGGAATTTTTCAACCGTTTCAAACCGAAAAAAATAGACAAACAAAAGGTTGGAAATTTGGAAAAGTTACACGTGCTACAAGTTTGAGCACAAAAAAATCCAAAAAAGTTTTTGAAACTTCAAATTAGAAGACATAGATTGAAAACTATGCTTCCATTTTCAGCTAGTTGCCGATTTCAGAATGACTCTCTTTTTTAGCTTGTTTATGTACTTGGAATGTAAAAGAAGGTGTCTCTCAGAAACCGGCAGATAGCTGAAAAACTAGGAATTTTCAAAAAATTCTATAAATGCAAAGTTGTCAATCTAGGTCTGTTTGACACTTTCCAAAATTTTCAAAGTGATCGGAAACTTGACAACCGAGGTCTAAAGTCCGGAAAATGGTCAAAATAGCTGAAAATCGATGGTAAAATACGTTTTCGTTAACCGAACGACCGGTACTGTATCTCATTTCTTGCGAAAGTTATCAAAAAATGGTTAACTGATAAATTGTTCATTATGATATCACAAACATTTTATCAGTAAACACATTTTTGATATCTCTCATAGAAGTCGACATAAATTGGCTCAAAGTTGAAGAATAGGATGATAATTTATTAGTGTATACTGTAAGCTTGTATATTAAATGAAAGGAGGCAACAGGTTTATTTTGGAAATATGTCAGCATGACGAGAAAAATAAAGTTTCCGAATAAAAATTGATTCCCAAATTTTGATATATTTTCAACAACGAAATAAGAACATTTTGAAAAAAAAAACATTTTCAAAATCTTATTCCTCCCAAAAATTACGAAAGCCTATGTTGTTCATAATCCACAACAAGTTATAAAACATCACGTACTCACACTGACTCACTTCTCTTCTCATCCATCCTTCTCACTTTCAGTGGGGAGGAGACGAGGGAGCAGCTTGCTCCTTTTTTTATTTTTATGTTCAGGGTTTTTTTTATTTCTCGGAATCAATCACTAGGAAAAAAACTAATCAAAAAATAGGATTTTATCAAAAAATTGAGTAAAGCCAACAAAATAAAATGATTTTGATATATTTTTCAAAAAAAAATAGCATAGGAGTGAAAAAAAAACCATAATAACGTAAAGAGGAGGGTTGTTTGGAAATCGATCAATTCGTAATCAACACTGACCTTGATTAATTGAAACAAGCAACAAAAATTTTGTGTCTGATTTTTTCTTGACACAACATTGATATGATCTATTTTTAATGTTTTTTGATGTTAAGTAAAAAAAGAAAATTGTGTTTTATAATAATAATGACATCATGAAATCAATTCAATTTCTTTGAAGATATCGGGAATAGTCGGCAGTTTGTGTGTAGTCTTTCAGCGATTTCAGTGGGATACGCCTTCTGAAACTGACTTCGGTGTATGTGTATGTTGCCAACATTGCTCCGATCCATGTGAGATACTGGGTGGTTTTCTTCCATTTTCTTCCGAAAGTGCTAATGAATCCTGCGTAGACGAGAGCAGCGATTGCTTGGCGTTTCAGCCGTAGTCTGGAATTGGAGAATTAAAAAAAAGTATTCTTAAATTTACAGTCTTAGCCCGGTCAATAAAAAATACAAAAAACCTATTTTCGGTTCATTTTTGGTTATTTTGACTTTTTTCAAGAGTCTGGAGTACGGCAGTTAAGTTTCCATCACTTTGAAAAAGTTTGAGAGTATAAAACCGTCCTGAACTGAAAAATTGGCACTAAAGTTTTTTAGAAATTGGCACTAAAGTTTTTTAGAAATTCCTAGTTTTTCAGCTTTCAGCCGATTTCTGAAAAACACCTGTTTCATCATATTTTCAGCCGATCCCCAGGTTCCTGGAAATAATCAAAAATCAACTGAAAAATATGTTTTTTTATTAATTTATCGACCGGTACTGCATATTTGCTGACCTGCAAAGATGTGCTCTAGATCTGTCAAGATTCTCTAAATTCTCCTTCAACAAGAACTTCTTAATTCCCATCACATAATCAAACAAATACGAGTCCCAATTCACTTGACGAACATCGAAATTGTATTCCTTCTGATCCTCGGGTGTCATTCTGTCATAAAGTTCCGGCATACCATTTGCATTGAAGCTCCATCCGCGAGTGGTGAAAAAGTGCAAGGTTTCGATCATCTTCCACACTTTTCCATACAGCTTAACATTGCTGATAAGAAGAACATTATTTCGATAGGTCTCTCATATCGACACTTACGTTTTTCGTTTTCCGACAAATCGAGCGGAAATGTCTGAAATTGCTGCGGGAATATGGTGCTTTAAATAGTAATTTATCAGGAAGAGGGTCCGTGATTTATGGAAGTATGTTGATGGAACTCCAAAGCACTGCTCCATCGGGTACTTTTTGTAAAATTGATCTAAGAATATGACAATATGACCCCACTGAAGTGGGTTCAGTTCTCCCGAAGAGCAGTGAATGACGGGAATCTCAGTTGGGCTGAAAAAATTGACGAATTTGGTGTCAATAAAAATATAATATTACTTAATAGAAACTCTATGTGACGCAGCAGCAATAATAATGTTAGCTACACAATCCACAGGAATGATATCTGCTTTCGATTCGTTGCTTCCACACATATTAGTCAAGACTCCTCTTCCGACAGCGGTGAAAATCCCAGTTGGTCCATTAATATTATCAGTCCACCCTGGAAGTGGTCCTTGCCACATTGCTCCGACAATTGAGGGGCGGATAATGATCACTGGAATATCCTTGGCTTCAGATTCAATCGTAGACTCTGCGAGAGCCTTTGTGAGGGTGTAGGTGTTGGGACGGAGGCCGAGGATTTTTGGAGTTATCTGGAATAAGCACAATGAGAAAATATACAGGTGTAGTTAATATTACCTTAGTCAGAGTCTCATCATCCATCCAAGTCAACGCGTCCACCAATTTTTGTGGAGCCATTGGAGATTTATAGATCTGAAAATCTTGATTGTTTCTCTCCAATATAAACTTAAGCTCACTTTTTCAACTGTCTCGACGCGATCGCAGTTTGCATAAGCAGTTGACACATGTACCAATACCTAAAAACCCGAAATTTCTCTTAATCCTTAAAACCCTTGAGATCTTTGAATACCTTGAGATCTTTGATTTGGTGGCAGAGATCGATAATACGTTTGGTTCCGATGACATTCATGGTGACAGCCGCGCGGAGGTGCTCGTCGAATTTGACAGTAGCCGCTGAGTGAATAACCACATTGACCTGAATTTTTACAATCCGCTTCGGAACTTGTGGACCCAAGCCTGGAGGTCCTGAGCCGCTACCAGCTGAGCTAATACAAAGGTTAAAGAGTTATCTTACATTCTCAGATATTTGTTTCAAATCCTCTGGATCCATTCCTAAGTTCTCTACCATCATATCTCCTCCAACTGCAATGAGCTTGTCAAATGCGTGTGGCTTTTCTTGACGGATTCTATTGAAGAGTGGGTCCTAAATACACCTTCAAACTTTCGAAAAATCAAACAAACTCACATGAAGTAGTCCTGCCAACCTTTCATTCGCATTCTTCCCCTTCCGCGTTCGAATCATCAAATAGATGTTGTCAATCTCATCGATAGTCCATAACAGCTTCTCGACGATGACCTTGCCCAAGAATCCAGTGGCTCCGGTGAGCAACACGGAACTACCCACATATACGTCTTTCACGCGGAAAGCCATGCGTTGTTACCTATGAATCAGCAAAATTCAATTGAAAATTTACGAGACAAGGAATAAAAAAAGTTGCCAAAGAAAAGAAAAAAATTGGTGATAGGAGAGAAGGAAATTTCGCTCTGAGTGGGTTTCGAGGTGATAGGGGGGGTAAATCGAGGGAGGAGAAGTTTCACTTCGACTATCAGTCAATTAATCGGTATCAAAGAAGAAGAAAAAGAGTGAATAAGAGCCTAATACAGGAAAAGAATGATAGGCAGTTGGTGAATCTACATGAAAGGGTTATCAATCCCATGTCACTCTCATTTTCTGTGTCAGGTATCATCAGGCCACGCAAAATTTTCTAGTACCATCCTATGCCAACTATAAGAGCCTATTGATAAGGAAGGTCATTATGATTCTGTTAGAATCATTGAACAAATGGAGGGGCGTTCGTATACCAGGGTTATTATACATAACAAAAATGATGAATACAGCTGTTAGAACGCTCTTATCAATTTGATATATGGGTGCATGTAAACAACTAAAAACAACAGAAAACTCGATTTTATAATAATTACCTCTCAGCATACTTGTGAATCGGGTCTTTCCCGGGTTTGTGAGCGCCTTGCCATAGTTTTTTTAGAATTCACATTTTTGACCTAACTAAACGAGATATGATTAATCTCAACGAGTACTACAAAATCATGTAATTTGAAAATTCGTATCTTTCCAATGAGCAACATTACAGACGAAATGAATTAAAAAACAAAGTAGGCACTGGCCGACGGTCGGGCTTGGCCGTTAAGTTCAATCACCTCTAAGTTACTTGGTACAAAAATATTAATTCTAGAGAAAAACAGTGGTAGTGCCCGCGAAGGCCCGGTTTACAAGTAGGCCTTCCATTAAAAAATTAGAAAATTAAAAAATCAAACATGGCTCAATCTGTCAGAGAAAAAAAGACTTTGACCTACTTAATGTTCAATTCGCTGAGCCTGCATAATGTCAAGGTAAAGTGAAGTCTATTTTGCTTTTCCAAAAAAGAGGAGCAAAAGAAAAAAAGCGCGGCACAATGCACTTGCGACCTACGTACATATACCAATGGGGACAATGTCCATCGACTGATAAATGTCATGCTGTAACTATCAGTGACTGATCACGCCATACCTCCTTCTCTCTCTCACTATCTGTTAGAGCAAAAAAAAAGAATTTGAGGTGAGAGAAACATTAAAAAGGCGTCATTTTTCACGCCGGTGCGGTGTGAGCGAAAAACACTTTCGGGAGGTGCGAAGGAACTGATTAAAAAGCGAGAAGGACTACAAAGTGATAGAACTTTGCAGTTTGACTGTGGGGAAATTGAGGAAAAGAAGAAGTTGAAAATGTACTATCAACAATCACGAGCATCGTCTGATAGACAGCTACTAGACGGAAGATCTTGGTTGTTGGGCATGATGTATGTTTGATATATTTGTAGCATGGTACAAAATGACAGATACCTGAAAAGTGACAGTTGAAAATTTACGAAAAAAATGAGAAGATTTGGTGAAAAACATCAAAATGGGGTTAAATAGTTAGATGCGTTAAAAATCAATATTTTTATTCATCCCATTAATTGACTTTAAATGAAAAGATGTATCAAGAAACTTGTATTAAAATGACCATCTTTTCTATTGTTCCAAGGTACTTTCGCAGTGTTTCTTTTTCATTTCTGTGAATTTAAACATTAAAAAGTCGAATTCGTGTAATTTCCAAATTTTTTTCATTGAAAACATACATTCTGATTTCAACCAATACATTTCGAAAAGGCACCTCTAATACAAGGGCTTTCCTCTTTTTCCGAACCTCTCTTGGAGGACCCTTTCACTAGGAAGGTTTTTCTAATACGGTACATCAGTGTTTTCTATGAAAATTGCAAATTTTATCAGGTCCCGCTTTTTATATTCTGCAGAATTATGTTCAAAGATTTTAAAGTACTCCAAAACTGTAAATTAGAATTTTCGGCTTACTGTAAGTCTGCTTAATCTTAAATAAATAAGCTAAAAACTTACAAGAACAGTCAAAACTGACCAATTCTGTATCATTTTTTCCATTCATCCTTTTTTTGAAAATTTTCCAAAACGATTTTAATATCGATTCTCAAATTTTGAAAAATGCCGAAAATTTGATTTGAATTCGCTTTAAATTCCAAGTGATTTCATCGGACTGCTTTCCATTTTTTGGGATTATAATATTTGAATTTGTAACCCAATTTCCACATTTCGGGTACCAAAGTAGTACAGTCTCACACCTATCACTTCTTGTTGATCGAACTTTACTTCACGCTTCACCATTTTTTTTTTCGTCTGTCTGCTTGTCCCATTCGAGTGTACAGAAGGAGACAAAGTCATAAGTGGATGTGGAACAAACATTGTCATTCACCCGATTTTTCGTTTTTTAGTGTCTCATTTTTCTTGTAGCTTTTTCGGATCTCATCACGTTCGCTCATTGTTTGAGATTTATTTTCACTTTTCACCTTTCCTTGTATTTTTATAAAACCCCGAGCTGCTCATCCCATTCCGCATGAAAACCACAGGTACTATTAGTACCAACAATAAAAACAATACGAACATTTTAATTATATGTTTTTGAAGACATCTGTCAACACCAACAGCTTCGTTTATTGTGCACCTTTCCTTTATTGCCAGGTGTGAATTGTTTTCGGTGCGGTTGTCCCGCATTAACCCCATATTTAGTTTCATAGTTCCATTGCTCACATGGCAGAAACAAAATAGAACGTGTGTTCATTGAAAAAGAAGGAACAGCTCATCAAAAGAGTCGAAGACTAATTACGCAACGTCACTTGACCGTCTTTCGGGTGGGGGTTGTCGGAAGCGGATTAGGATACACCGTCACTGCCCCCGCCGGGATTCCTTTTTGATGAACCCCGCTTTTTTCCGGGGGTCCGTGTGTGGTGAGAGGGTCCGTGGTGAGGTGTCTTAGGCGGTGGTAGTAACTGACCAGTAGCCGAATAAACATCTTCAATAATGTTTCGGTTAAACATGTTGTGCATATGTATATTAGCTCTAATGGTAATGTATTCACACGCACCTGGCTATATTAACCGCTGGGTTGGCTTTGGTTGGTCCTAAGGTTGGCTAATGCAAATGTGCATGTTTTTTTTGTTCTGCAAGAATCATTAAAATGAAAATTTGTAAATTTTTGGCAGTTATACTTTTTCCGATTCTTGAATTCGCTGTACTAGAATTTTCGGGTTTAATGATCTCAACATTTTTTTGTTCTGGGATTTTTGAGATTAGGTTTTTTGGTTCATAGAATTGAATTATTTGAAAATTGAGTTTTCTGGATTTTGAAATGTTATTTTGTAGGTTTTATGTGGATTCAATTTCTGCCTTCATGTTGTAAATTTTTAGCCAAATTATCAAAGTTCCGTGTAAGAGTATAACTTTTCGTGTAATAGTCGAAATACCGTAATTCATTCAACAGAAGACCTATACTTGAAGTTTGAGCTTAGTTACCTCTGGTCTTCTGTGAGATAACAAAAAGTTGCCAACCGATAAATTGTTTATCTCAATATTAGAAATATTTTGTCTTTGAACTTTTTTGATATTTTTCAAAACAAAAACCGAGATCATTGAGCTATATATGGGCTTCTATGACAGGAAATGTGATGGTTGCGAGAATTTCCAAGTATGGTAGTTTTGACTAAAAAACCGTATCTGCAATTCAAAATTTTGAAAATATTGATTCAAACTGCTCTGACATGAAAATAACATTTATACCGTAAACACGCTGTTAAAACGCCACCCAAACAGTCAATTTTCAGCTTATGTATCTTATTCCCTTCGAAAAATTTCAAAAAACAGTCAACTGATAACATAATGCTGATATTTAAATAAACAATTTGTTAGTTGATCACTTGTCTATATCTTTTGCAGAAAATGAGATATATGTGGTAAAAATTAACGGTCAGAGTGGTGTTCTCTTAGAGTGTTTACTGTAAGTTCTCAAAAAGTTTTTCAACTTTTCAAGTTACTACTGTATTCATCCCCTCAAACATTCTATAATATCTTTAATTTCATTTTTCCCACACTCTCTTGTTTTCCCGACACCATTTCATTCATTTCCCTCTATAAATCAATTTGACGCGTTTAGCCCTCCCGTGAGTTATCAGATAAAAATCGGATCTTGATCGGCCACCTTCCTTCTCTCCTATTTCAACCAATTTGTCGCGATGTAACTGCTCGTAAATTTTGATGGTCTCGCCTCACGGACACAAGATAGCGAGAGAGGGTAGAAGAAATGTGTGATGATGACATAGTTCGTTGGAGAGGTGACAGAGAGAAGAACATAAAATTAAATGACGATGGTTCGCGGGGTCCCGGATTGATGGTCGCCCATTGTTTCTTCCAAATCACCTTTTCTATCTTACCTCTTCACAACAATTTCGACGATTTTCGCGCAGTGGTGGTCTTGGTGTTGGACAGGTTGCGGCTTTGCGTGCGCGCACGCGAGTCGATCGTAAAATGGATTGTAATTCAGCCCCAAAAATACAGTAGGATTCGAAAAGAATAGTCATCAAACCTCTCCCTAGTCACGAAACCTGTGACTACTGTAGTTTTATGGGTTCGCGCACACTAATGATCGTTCCTTATTCAGAAAATGCTGGTGTTGGTGTCATTTCTCAATCATTTCCCCACCCTATTCGTCGCCCCCATAAAAATAGTACTTTGCCTTTTTTTTCTCAATTTCCCAGTTAGTCTATTCCAAGTCTACGACTCATTTTCAAAACACAACACAACACGACACAATTACATACATATAGGAGCACTTTGAGCCCTTCATAGCTCTTTTCCCACACCACTATGCAGTTGACAAGTTGCTGGAGAATGTTGTGGTCAATTATTTTGTCAATTTGAAAAGTTTCATGTTGTAACTTGTCAAGTGCCCCGGCACTCTTTACCTCTTGTGACAATGCTTTTTGCATGAATACTCATGTATAGTAATGTTTTTCAATTTTTGTACAATTTTTGTCTTTCTACTGTATACTGGCGCATCTGCAATAAGGCGAACGATCAGCATAAAGTGACGAGTTAATTAAAGATGCGTCTGTTTGAGAGTTAATGAGAGAGAGAGAGAGGAAGAGACGAGATTCTCAAGATGGTAAGATGAGATTACATACGTGTGACATATGGCGGAATGTACAAGAGGATGGTATGAGGAGAGCAATTATGGGAGGAGGTTAGCTTAGTGGTTTGTTATCCAAAAATTGTATTAAATGGAAGATTTGGAATTTTTTATCCAATCAAAATGGCTTTAAAATTTTCATAACGCTTCATTGAATACCATAAAGGTCGAGTCATTTATAATTTTTGTAGAGAAGATTTCGAACAGTAGTTGACTGACAGATGAGCATCGGTCAAAAAGTATAAAAAAATTCTTTTAAAGTTGATTTTTGACAATTTTTACTATTTTCCGAATCCTGGTGCTCGGCTGTCAAGCTTCCGACCATTTTGAAAATTATGGATAATGTAAAACACGGTCGTGATTGAAAACTTTGCATTCGCAGAATTTTTAAAAAACTTTTCGCTTTTCAGGTAGTTGCCGATATCCGAATAATATTCTTTCTAACCCGTTTTTGTACTGAAAACCTTAAAGACAGAAGTCGTTCCAAATTTCGGGAATAACTGAAAAACTAGAATTGTTAATAAAATATGTTGATACAAAGTTTTCGATCTAGGTCTGTTTTACAACCTCCATAATTTCGAACTGATCCGAAACTTGACAGCCAAGCTCCTAGCTTTTGAAAATGGTCAAAATGGTCAAAAATCAATCGAAAATATTTTTTTCTATATTTTTTCGACGTTACTGTATATAATTCCAATCATTTCCTCGAAGGATTATTCTATTACCGTAACTAACGATCCCAATTCCCTGGATTACGTTTTTTTGTAAGCAATTACCAAGGATAATTACCTCCTCCCTCTTCTCCAATGCACCAAAAATAAGTCCCAATACCATTTACCAGCTTAAGTGGAAAGGGCTTCTTCTCCATGCCTGGTTTGTACATTGCGAGTCAATTAAATCATTCGCTTCATTGCACACCTTGATCGTTTTTTTTCTCGTCCCATTCAGAGCTCCTTAACCTCGTCAACACCACCTGCTACTAGCATTTTTCTCAGTTTTTCCTATTCTTCAGACCTAGTTTGAATTCAACAAGGATCGAAAACCGTCGCGCAAACATCCGCACATCGTTCCTTGTAATTTATTCCGTGAAAGATGGAATTGTACATTGTCGCAACATATGTGTCAGTTTGTCTAATTGGTGAAGCTGCTCCTTTTCTTCATCAATAGAATTGGTGAGACTGAACATGGCTCGAATAACAACACGTCAACAGCTGTTACCAAAAAGTTGGACACCCCATGTCCTCTTACATTTCATCCCCCCTTTTTTCAACAACCCCTTCTTGACCCAAATCCACTATCCTTTATTAGTCTTGTTCACTCAGTTAACAGGCTCGTTTACTGGCCTCATAAATGTCTCGGGCTTGGTTTCTATTCCTTTCCATTTCTTCTATTTCCATTCACAGCTCTATCCCAGAAAGATTTGTAGTCTCCCTTTCCCTCCACAAATTGAATTTTAAGAAAAGAAAGAAAGCTCTGGATTACCTCAAAGCTAAGTTTGTCGTTGTCTTCTCTCTTTTCCGTTCCGGATGAGTTGGTTCTCAAACCCAACTTTTCTCGATTACTGAATTAGCATATTGCGCGAATAGAGGGGGGAAGAGACTCATCGTAGCTCATCAAAAGCGCACCGCATAGCAAAATTTTGAAGGGTGAATAATTGAGGATCCGTGAAAACTGAGAGCTGCCGGGGGAATTTATGAAGTTGGAGCAAGCTCATCTTTCATTATACGCAATATTTTTGGATTTCAAATATGTTCCAAATACAGTAACCCGGTCTATGAGATATTCAAAAACGTATTTTTGTTCATTTTGGGACATTTCGACTGTTTTCAAGAGACTAGATTGTTATGTTTCCAATCACTTTAAAAATTGTAGAGGGTGTAATACAGCCTTAGATTGAAAATTTCACATTTACCTCATTTTTCAAGATTTACTAGTTTTTTAGCTTTTTACTGATTTCTGAAAGACACCTATTGTTTACATTTTCAGTACAAAATAAGCCAAAAAAAGGGTGTCTTTCAGAAATCGGCAAATAGCTGAAAATTTTTGAATTTTCGAAAAAAAAATCTGTGAATTCAAAGTTCTCAATCTAGGTTTGTTTTATACCCTCCAAAAATTTCAAAGTGGTCAGAAACTTGATAGCCAAGCTCCAGGCTTGCAAAAAGTGTCAAAAATCAACTGAAAAACTTATCGCGAATCTTAACTTTTTTGGATTTTCAAATTTGTTCCTACTATTTTTTTAAATCCTATCTCATTTCAATTCCAGTCAAAATAAATTTTCGTCAATTCATTTCATCTCATTCTAAAAATTCTTATTTTCTTTTCAGCTCTATATACTCGTGGACAAGATTTCCCACTAAGATTTTATGAATCCCCAAAAACTCTCCCCTTAATGGAAAAACGCGGTTTTCCCGAAAACGACGCGAAACGGAGTTGTCACTTTTTAGATGTCTCCATTTCTTGTTCTTTTCTTATTTTTCGGCTCCTCGGCATCTCCATTTTTGATCAAAAGCAATTTTCCCATTTTCTATTCCCACCTGAATTGAAAATATGGACACACATCTAAAGGGAACACCGCCGGAAGCAATTATCGGAGATGTTTACACTGAAACTGAACCCTTTTCGCACTCTCTCCCTCCTTTGAATCATCTTCGGTCCCCCTTCTTTTACTTTTAGAGTATCTCTTCCTGTTAAGACTCCGACTAATTGGAACTCAGCTTTCCGCTTCGAGCGCACCTTAACCCTTTTAACAAGACATTCAATTTACTTCGTCTTGTTCGACGCTCTTCATCTTTCTTGGTGTCCCTTCTCCCTTAGCTCTTCATTTTTCCAGTATACATTTCTTTAATTCCCCCAGGGAGTAAGTCCGGTGGCAGCAAGAAGGCAGTAATTCTTTACTCGAAAAGCTCAGAAGCTATTTCTCAAAAATGTTTCAACACCATTCGTCCCATGGGCGGGGTGATGGGAGGACAGGGAGAAAACGGGGAGGGGGGGGGGGAACACAAAACGAAGACGTCTCTATCTGACCAGCCGGCCCGCCGGACTCCGCCCCTTTTGCGCGGCACAGGTTAGCGAGTCACTGTGAGTGTATAAAATACTGATTGCTTTTGGAATCTTTTTTTTCGTTGATAGTTTTTTATTTGCTCAATTTTCAATTCTTAAGTATGACAAGCATATTGAAAAAAAGTGAAATGAGGAAAAAATAATATATCCGAGAGATATTTGTATGTTTGCCTTGAGAGAAAATTCCAATAGATAGGATCCCTTAGTTTTTTCTTGCTCAACCGGAAATCTTGTTGCATGTCATTCATTCTCGATTCCTCTGAATTTCACATTTTTCCCTCGTTTTTTGTTTTTTTTCTTTTTTTCGAACTCTCCATTTTTCTTTTTTGTCTTCTTACATCTACAGTAATCCTTTTTTTAACACTTAAAATTTAGGATGAGGTACCGACTTCTCCTCTTCCTCCAAATGATAAACCTGATATCATCTGGAGTCTTACCTCCTCGAAAACGATTCCCAGACGCTATAATCGTTGGAGTTAAAAAATCCGGGACCAGAGCTCTTCTAGAGTTTCTCAGGATCAACCCACTCATCAAGGCGCCCGGTCCTGAAGTGCATTTTTTTGACAAAAATTTCAATAAAGGATTGGAATGGTATAGGTGAGTTCTGATAGCTTCTGTTTTGACTGGGATTAATTACGTGTGCACCATTTTCAAGTGCCCTCCTTCTCTGTTCATACCCTCTTAAGCTGATTGCGCCATTACCTTCCTTGTTAGGTAACATGCCCAAATATCAGGAGAGGTCTCACGCAGATGTCGATTCTTTAGAAAACCCTAAAATTGAATTAAGGGCGTTAGATATGTCAGCGAGAAAGCTGAGAAAATCGAAAATCCGCTTAGTCGTCGCTGGGAGCCAATCGTGTCTTTGTTCTGTTCCCTCCAGAATTCTATCCTATTAAGTACAAGGCGATAATTCAGTTTCGACCATAAAATTCTCCACGACCACCACCACCTGCATAAACCCCATAAAGCATGCAGCATAAAAAACAGTCATTTGAGGAATATATGGAAATGAAAACAGAGACCTTATGGCGCCAGGAGACGAGTGTGAATGACAGTTGACAGTTTTTCCTCCTAAGGGGAGGCCCCTAATTAGAAATTCCTTCTTTGCCTTTGCCAACTTGAAGGAAACCTTGAGATTTGAGTCATACTGTATTTATTGAGTTATTCATCATTTATCGGAAGACAGTTCATAAACAAGCTCGCCGGAGAGCACATGCACAAACAACAGGTGCCCTTGGATTCCAAGCTGTTTCTTAGCGGGAAGTCCGTATCGTATATTAGAAGCAGGTGATTTCAGGGCCTCCTGGACAAATACGGTGTTGTTAATCAATTTCTAATAGGAATCAAGAGGCACAAGGACATGTATTCTTATGTAAACTAGGAAGGAAGAATGGGGAACAATGGTAACTAGAGACGCGGCGTCTGGATAAATTAATCACTAATGTAGGAGGTTTGTTGGTGGGCATCCCGTGGTCCCTTGGTGCCAGATACCTTCCCCCAGCAGCCCCACTCATTTATCTTGTGCATACGACAAATTGGAGGGAATGCGTCTGTTGTTTTGGAGTAAAAGAGCGGAAACCCTCCACCAGATGAGGTTTAGGAACACACATCAGAAGTTTTCGTTATTAATTATTTTCTGACCTTCTCAAAGGGAATATGCCGATATTGCCTTTGGAAGTTGCCCTTGGAATTCCAAAACCCGGATCCAATCCAAAAACGAATTACATTTCATAATTGAGTTTTCGGGACCGGATATGCTCCTCTAATAATATTATTTCTTGAAAAACCCGGCCACTCATCTAAGAATTAATTATCTCCGTGTTTCTATTATGCCTTTCCGCCTAATGAAGCCTACAAAAGCTTCCCCCTTTTCCCGAAAAAAAAACACCCGAAAACTACCAGATTGTGGATTAGCGCGGTCCCTATTTTTAGGAAGCTAAGAACATCTTGTCCCTTTCGTACCCAATTACGTAACGGAAGTATGTTTGTTAGGGATGAGGAGGCTGGTATTAATATATTATGCATGGTAGAAGACTTTTTTCAATGCTGCTCTATTCCCGCGTCACTTTGATGGATAGAAGGGACGTCTTCTGCGACTGAAGGAACGTTGTACAGTGCGCGAAACAATGGGGAGGTGTCAATCTCATTCAATTTGACTGACTGATAGAAAATATATCCAGAGTGATGATGGATATGCTTCCTAGCTTCATTTAAGAAGCTTTTTCTCAAAAGTGAGTTGTCCAAAAACTCTTGACAGATGGCGCTTGTCAAAAACGATCAAGTTTTTGTGTCATTTTTTGCCGTCCTTGGGGGTCTTGAAGAGTTACATATTCTGACAAGTCTCTTTGATCTGCTCGGCGGTCTTTTTTTTTGTGCACCACCGGTTGTAAATTTGACGCTATGGCGTAACAGGTCGGAAGTCCCTAAGTCGACCACTGTCACTGCCAATTACTGGGATAATTAGAGACAAAGAGAAATAAGATATCTGATTCTTTTTCGAGCAGCATCTCCAGAGACGAACGGCAGATTGGAGCTGACACGAAAACGGGATTATAATTAGACTATGATGAGATGGTTAGGCTCTTGACGAGACTCATCCATGTTGTTGACGCTTCCATCGACTTTCATTTTCATAATTATTAGACGAGATAAGAACGGATGGGGTGCATCAATCTCGGTCGCACATTCGCGGGAGGAGAGGGGGGTAAATAAAGATAAATGAACTGGCGCAATACAGTCAGTTAACCCATAAATCTAGGATAGGCACTCCTCACTCACCGGGTGGTCTCCCGAGATATGATCTTGATCCGTAATTGGTGACTTGACACCTAGTTTTAGAGGACTTCCTGGAGAACAGGTGGCTGAGACAATCCTAGCAGGATTTTTACGACTGCGCGTAAATTGCATTGTCGATCCGTTTTGATCTTTCACCGATAAGCAGCCACTTGGGTTTATTGGATGTGGAGCAGCTCGTAAAACTCTTTCGACAAGGAGCAGTAATGTGATTGGATTGACTTTTGGTGGAACCGATTCCAGATATTATTTTTCTTCCTACAAACGAAACTCTTTACCTTTTTTCCCCATATCACACCGTACCTTGAAACCGAGACTGGGTCGGGAGTTGCGCAACCGTTCATTGAAGATAGCGGGAAAAGACCAAAAGAAAAAGGGCAACGTGGTTCCGATTTTCTAGATTAGATGAGCGGGTGGCAAATAATAAAATATATTGAGTGAGTGTATAATTTATAGGGAACAAATGCCGGAAACGAGAATTGGCGAAGTGACGATTGAGAAGAGTCCAGCATATTTTCATAGCAAAATGGCACCGGAGAGGATAAAATCGCTGAATCCAAATACCAAAATCATCATTGTGGTTAGAGATCCAGTGACGAGAGCTATATCAGGTACCAGATTTATTCTGGATTATCTATTCTTGATTTTCCCCTTTTCAGACTACACTCAATCGTCAAGCAAAAGAAAACGAGTTGGTCTTATGCCAAGTTTCGAGACAATGGCTGTTGGAGATTGTGCGAATTGGCTCCGAGCCAACTGTACCACTAAAACAAGAGGAGTCAATGCTGGTTGGGGAGCAATCCGAATCGGTGTCTACCACAAGCACATGAAACGGTGGTTGGATCATTTCCCAAGTCAGAATATCCATATAGTAGATGGAGAGAAACTGATATCAAATCCAGCTGATGAGATTAGCGCCACCGAGAAGTTTTTAGGATTGTCACCAGGTAAATCCTGAAAAAAATGGAGTTAAACTTCACTAAAATCAATTTTCAGTCGCCAAACCAGAAAACTTCGGCGTGGATCCAATCAAAAAATTTCCTTGCCTCAAAAACGACGATGGAAAACTGCACTGTTTGGGGAAAACCAAAGGAAGGCACCACCCAGACGTCGAGCCTTCTGTCATGAGGGCATTGAAGGAATTCTATGGTCCGGAGAATAAAAAGTTTTACCAACTGGTGAATCACTGGTTCGATTGGTGAAATTTAATTCTCCATTTATTTTCGAAAAATGTATTTTATAGCTAGTCTGTTGTCTCATCTCCTTGCCCTGTTCTGTGTTGTTCCTGTTAGAAAATTCTCGATTGTTTTGGTATTAGTTTGCGGGTTTTTTATTGCATAATTCGTTTTTCAAGAAATAAACGTTTAATTTATCTAATTTTTGCCCGATTTCGATTTATATTTGGAGATGTGAAGGATATGAATGCGATTTTTCAAAAAAGTTTTGATTGATTAACTATCGAGTTTGAAAACCTCAACGTCTCAAATTGTGGTAATTCTAAACCAGCTTTTTTCAGAGTTGCTCAGATCGGAAAATTGATGCTTTCTCTGAAAATTAACTAACATTATTCCGTTGAAAAATTTTTTTCTTTTTTGTTCGCCAGGAATGCCCACCATCAAATCATCAAAAACTCTCCTGACGAGCTAAAAACGAGAAGATCGGAGCTCTGGGAGAGTCGGTGACTGTGGCGAAAGTTGCCACAATCTCTAATCGTGGTGGGTCCTTCGGACACGGCCACCGGCGTTTCTTCTCCACAGCTCCAATTTTTTGCACTAGAGCAACTGATATTTATTTGTCCATTTGGATGATTACGGACTTACCTCTCCCAATGTGCGTTCCTACACCACCGTAACCTCAAAAATTTTATTTTTCTCAGCGTTTTTCCAAATTTTATTTCTTTAATCTCATTTCCTTGTTCCCAATCCTATCACAAAATGATTCGTAACCGAATTATCAATCGAACTTATCCTTTTTAATTGTTATTCAATTTCATTATTCATTGGTTTCTGACTCTTCATCAAAATCTGAAAGAGTTCTCTGCAAAACTCTGAGAACTATACCCCCGTTCCCATTTTCGAAAAAGAAGCCGTGCCGACATTTTGGTTGGCCCAAAAATCTGAAAGAGTTCTCAGAACGTCTCTGAGAACTACTCACTCGTTCCCATCTGTGAGATGGCAGTTCCGACACCAAAAAATCACATAAAAGGAACCCCTGATCAGAAGAAAATCATTCACTTCCTTCTCCATATCTCACTATTCGTCGCTTCCAAGTGCTTCTCCTACTCTTGACCGTCAGTGGTCCCCTCGTGGAATCACAAACCACATTCAAAGTCAATGGAACAGTCACCTGTGCCACTGGCAAAGACTTCCGCGTCCACGACATTCTAATGGAAGATGACGACATCGGATGAGTTGATTTTTCTACTATTCTGTGAAAAGTGTTTATTCTCAGTAGTGACTCCGTGATCGCAGCTCAACATACAACCTGCGCGGGAAACTGCTACATTCTCTCTTGTCGGAGACCAGACGGACGACGTTGGTGTAAGCACTGTTGAATTTGAAGAACTCGCCAACTGCGAAGTTCCGCAAGCAGTTAAATTTTAATACTTTCAATTTCAGACCGAATACGAACCATATTTGAGAATCATTCACACTTGCCGCAATCCGGACAGCCCGAAAGCCCTCACCATCGAGATCCCACTCGGAGATGCCAAGAAACTTAGAAGGTGAGTCAGCCCATGAAATCCCAAGTTTAGATTATCTATTATTTAAGAATCAGAGTTTTACAAAAATTTCGCGATATTACCTCACTTAATATGTTCCTTTTCCAGATATTTCGTCTTGAACAACTACAACGTCGATATTACTGAAAAAGGCGAAGAAGACAAGTACACGATTGGAGGAAAACGTCGTTTTCAATGAATCTCTCTTTTTTGTTGTAAAATTTCATTAGTAAATTCATTTATCAGCATTCTTTAAAAAATATCAGCACATAATGGAAATCACAATGGTTGTGATCCAATGACATTTTCAGGTAATTCGAAATTTCGAAATTTTAGCACTACCCAATACACCAGCTTACAATTTCAAACGGAAAATTTCAATTTCAAGTATCATTCAATTGTTCATTAGACTGACAAACATTAAACTTTTTTGTGCCTTGACGCAATTGCAGTGCCCTGACCCAACTTCCGTACCTTGGCGCGCTTTTCGTGTTTTGAAGAACCTTCAGCGCTTTTTGTTGTCCAGCGATTTTCTACATAAATTGCTAAACTTTTAAGTTGTTACATTTTTTGATCTGAAACAAATTTTAAATGTGAAAATAGGCAGTTCTATCAAAAAATAAGACAAAGGCAAATATTTAATAACTTCAAAAAAAGATTCATTTCCTCAATCGGCCGAGGGCTTCAGCAACTCAAAATTTAAAATGCTTGAAAACAACGTTCCCATAAATATTGGGAAATTTCCGGTTCTTGAAAAATCGTGAGATCCCGATCTCCACCGTCATTTGTTTTCCAAATTGGCTGGTTTTCCCTTTAGGTATGTTTTTCAGCCTATCGAAAAAATGTTTTTTCCAACGAAAAGTTTAGCTGATAGTTCGGCTACAACAGCGCTCCAGCGAACACATTTTTTTTACAAAAAAAAATCTGTAACATCATTTTTTTTCAATTTTTTATTAAGAAAAATACAATCACTCAGATAGTTTTAAAAAATCAACAGACTTTCACAACCGTGGCTTGAATCTGCTTCTGAATGTAGTGGGCTGGGAGAAGGAAGCAAGTTTTATCAATGACAGAAAAAATTATAATTTGAAAAGTGAAGCCCATAAAGGTATATAAATGTTCAAATCCTTTTCATAAAAAGTGATATAAGCAATTCATAAAGAAACTTACACATAAAAGAGTACACATTACGTAAGGCTGGGGGAACATTTTTTGTATTATAAATTAATTTTTTGGGAAGCTGAAAGCAATTTGAGAATAAATTAATTGTGTGTGGTCTCTCTCGTGAAAACAAGCATTTTAGGGAAGAATGGATATGCAGACATCATCATCATACAGAAGGAGCAAAATGGGAATTATTGAGAAAAATTGAGAAACAAATTATTACGCATAGCGTTGTTGTCTTGATTAGAAGAAAAGAAGAAGAAGAAGAAGTGGCATTGTGACGTTTTGATTATCGGGTTGCATTTATAACATGACATGAGCAGAAGAAATTAGTTCACCGACATTCCGTGTTCAGATCCGGACACTGAAAAATCTAACATCATTTTGTTGATTAATCATTCAATCAAATATCAATATTCTACCATTTGATTCGTTCTCGTCTTCACGAGCCAGGTTGTCGTTTGAGCCGGGCACATCGAATCCTCGTCGAAGGCGCATATCAGCTCGTCGACGGTTGTTTCCTCTGAAAAAAAAAATGGTATTCGCACTGGAAAAGGAATTCTAGTATACCTCAGATTCATCAATTCCCGTGTGAGTTGTTCATTGGCATCTAGAAGGTCATCAGCCTCTCGTTGAACATTGCGATGCTTCGTTCGTTCGCGAGAAATCTCATCTTCGGTCTCGTCGAGTTGCCGGCGAAGGTTTCGGTTCTTGAGGTTGGACTTCTCGAGCTGAAATTATTTGTTAGGTTTCAGATTCTTTTTTTAAAGACTTACCAATTCCTTAGCTTGTTCATTGGCTCTCTTCTCATCTTCGAATTGCTGTGTAATATCATTCAACCGCTTCTCGAGTCGTCTAGCAGCTCTATTGGCAGCAGTCTTCTCTTGTCCTTCAGCATTCAGCTGATCCTCCAGATATTGAATTTTGGCTTCAAGAGCAGCCATTTGAGCGCGCGCTCTGGATTGAGCACCACTCTCCAACTCGGTGATCTTGGCCTTGTAGTCTCTGCATGTTCGTTCCAGACTTTGCTTCTCGGCATCTGTTTTCTGGTTGAGCGTTCGTTCCATGGATAGATCGGTGGTGACTTGTTCTAGCTGGACTTGGGCCTTTCTTTGCTTATCGATAGCCAGTTCACAGTTGCTCTGCTCCTCTTCAAGTTCCTCTTCGAGTTGGGAAATCTTGGCTTCAAGACGTCGCTTCTCTTCGGAGCTGATACCACCTCCCTTCGCTCTGAGTTCTTCGAGTTCATCGTTTTCAAGCTCCAAAAGTTTTCTGGCTTGCATGAGTCCCTCGTTGGCTTCTCTGAGTTGTTCTCTCTCAGCCTCGACTGCTCTGAACTTTCTGTCGGCTTCTCTCAGCTGAGCGGCAATGTCTTCCTTGGCTTGACGAGCCTCTTCGCATTCGATTTGGTACTCCTTGATGATTTGTTGATTCTTCTTGAGCTGTTTGTTGTATTCTTCCTTCAGCCTGTTTGCCACTTCCAATTGTTGCTCGAGTTCCCCGATTTGGTTCTCGATCTTCTTTCTGTGACTCACAGCTCCCGACTTTCCACGTTTCTCATTCTCAAGTTCATTCTCCAAATCTCGAATTTGTTTCAGAAGACCACGTCGCTTCTCCTCAGCTTCAACGTCCTTATTGCTGATGGCACGGTCACTTTCTGACTTCAAAGCTTGGTTGGTGACTTCGAGACGGAGGCGAGCATCCTCAGCCATTTGAAGATTATCCTCCAGTTCCTCCATCTGTGCTCGCATGTCAGCCAACTCGGCTTCAAGTGATCGTTTTGCCTTCTCCAATTCGTGAACATTCTTTCCGAAATCATCCTTGTTGGAAATCTGCAAATTTTGGTTTTTTTGCTCCTCTAAATGATATCTACAGCCTTACCGAGTCTTGAAGCTCTTGCTGAAGGGACCTTCTGATTCTATCTGATTCCTCGAGCTGCTCCTTCATCAAATCAACCTCGTTCATAAGAGAAAGCACTCTGGTTTCTCTATCTCTCAACTCCTGACTCATTGAATCCCGATCTAGAAGCGCCTTCTGCACTGCAGCTCTCTCCTCAGCCATTTGAGTTTCAAACTTCTTCTGTCTCTTCTCGGAATCTCTATGGGAAGCGCGAACGTTGTCAAGCTCCATAGCGACATCCTCAAACTCTTGTTGGATTTTCTTCTTACTCTGAAGGATACGCTCCTTGACAGCTTCACTCTCCTCGAGTTGCTGTTGCAGGTGTTCCACGTCTCTCAAGTTCTTCTTGCGAAGCTCCTCGAGTTGTTGGTTGACAGCTTCCTCGGCCTTTCTGCGGGCGTCTCCAGCACCTTGACGAGCGGCATGAATCTCCTTTTCAAGGTGAGCACGAAGTCCTTCGGCTTCTTCTTTCTCGTCAAGAAGGGCGTTCTTCTCATCTTCTAGTTGACGAGCTCTATTGATGTTGGCAATCTTTAGTCGAGTTTCTTCTTGGATTTGCTCATTTAGCTCTTGGATCGTGCCTTCAGCGGCTGCCAGGCGGCGTTGCATGTTGGCAAAAGCGTGTTCCTCCTCTTCACGGACACGATTCAAGTGATCCAGCTCGTCGCGGCTCTGAAATTAAAAAAAAATAAAACTTGAATGGATCAAATTGTGACTTACTCTCTCCAACTGATCAATAAGCGTTCTCTTGTGCTCATCGCTTTCTGACAAGTTGGCTTGGATCTCCATCAAATGAGCCTCATGGATTTTTCTCTTCTTATCAATTTCCGCTCGACTAGCCTGGAGCAGCGCAATCTCTTGAGCCATATCCGCACGTTCCTGGTCAGCCAAGTTCTGTTGTTTCTCTAGTTGGTTGCGTTGCTTCTTATGCTGCTCGATTTGTTCGTGAAGGCCTTCAATTTGATGACTGAACTTTTGCTTCTGATCCTCGATCTTGGCTTCCATTGCATGTTGGATTTGTTCGATGGTTCGCTGAACAAAAAGAATGAATAAAAATAATAAAGAGAATAATATAAACATACCTTTGTAGCATTGACTTCTTCATCCTTTCGGGCCATCAAGTCTTGAAGCATAGTAGCTTCGTCAACCTTATCGAGAACATCTCCTTTGACCTTCTCGAGTTGCGCAACAACTTCTCTGAAAAGAAACTTCGGGATAATAAGAAATGCAGGCATTAGTAGGAATACTATCGAATCAATAACTAGGTGTCAGAAAGGGTGGGTAAATATTTTCATATGCAAATACCGTACCGTCTTGTCATCTCGGCCTTATTGCGAGCATTTCTCTCGGTCTCAATATCCTCTCGAAGCTCGTCGATAGTCGTCTGCATATCTCTCATCTGCTTCTGCATCACCGCAACAGCTGCCGATTCTTCATCGTATTTGGTCAATTGCAATTGAAGCTCCTCATCGCGTTTTATCAGCTGATTATTCAACTCTTCGACCTTGCCCATCTTCTCGACAAGATGATCCTTGCTATCCTCCAACTCAGCCAACAGTTTTCTTTTCTGCTGCTCAATTTCCGACTTGAATTGACGCTCACGATTAAGATCTTGCTCCAATTCATGCAATTGGTTCTCGAGACGTCCCTTGGCTTTGATGCCATGCTTAGCTCTTTCCTCATGGTCCAAAAGTTGGGTGGTCAAGGCTTCGACCTTCTCTTCCAGAAGCTTCTTCTCTTTGAGGAGTTTGTCGTAGGCGTCTTGGAGCTCGACGAGTCGTTCCTCAAGGTTACGGAGCCTCTGGTCAACATTTGTCTTATCGAGAAGAAGCTTTTGTCTTGCTTGTTCTTCCTGCTCGAGCTGCTCTTCCAAATCACGGACAGTTTCCTGAAAAAATTAACGATCATTTAAGGAAATATTTTAAAGGAAAATTACCATCTGCTTTCTTCTCTCTTCATTATTCTTCTCATTCTGTTGTTCCTCCTCGGACAGACGATCTCGCATATCGTTGACAATATATTCAAGCTCTTGGTTGCGAGTCTGGAGGCGACTACGAATATCTTCCAACTCGGCACTGTTATCAGATTCCTGTTGGAGTTGCTCTTGAATCACAGCACGCTCGACGATCACCTGAACACAACAAAGAGATAAAAACCGAGTCGTGAGAAAATCAAACACTCACCTGATCCAATTTCTTCTCATTCTCGCGGAAATCATGTTCCATCTTCAGCAGACGCTCCTTGGTGGCTCTCAACTCATCATCCTTGGCACGAATCTCATCGTCGGTACGAGTAACTTGAAGGAGTGGCTTGACTTTGGTGAACAAACGCCACCACTGCCAGTTGCGAAGCTTGAGATAAGCCAGACCGTTGCGTTGAATGATTCTGATAGCGCTGGATTGCTGTTGACGTCTCGTGTAGAGTCTTCTGGAGAGGAATCCTCTGCATTGAGCTTGGAAGTTTTGAATAAGAGCTGTCAGCTTCAAATCTCTCTCCTCTTCGAGATGAGCAAGAACTCCAGTTCTGAAGAACACTTTGGATTGTCCAATTCTGTAGAGGTTGGAGTCGATGTCAAGTGCAGTGATCATCTTGCGAACCGATTCCTTTCCATCGATGAAATTCTTTGGAATCACATCAGGGGTGAGGATTTCGTAACGATGACGGAATTCTTGGAATGGCACTCTGTTCGGGAATCCTTGTCGACAAATTCTGATTCCTTCCAACACTCCGTTACATCTCAATTGATCGAGTACCAAGTTGGAGTTGATCTTTCCAGATTTTTTCTCATGATTTGGAATAATACAACGAACGAAATGTGGTGAAGTGTTGCGAAGAGTGGTCATCAGTTTGGTAAGCTGCTCTTTGTGCAATTGGGATACAGTACGGAACATTCCTTTACGAGATCTCATTCCAAACGCGGTCTCGTTCATCTCAGCGGCACAGATTCCAGCGAATTCGGCGTCCTTCCAGATGCCGGCCACAAATGAATCAGTAGAGTTTTGCATGAGACCAACAACATTTTCATTAAGTGGATCCATGTTTTTCATGAGCCACTGGTCAGCAGAATAGTCAACGCGTCCAGCATAATGGACCACAGCAAAGTCTCCAGTGCGGTTGCGAAGCTCGGCAGGGATGAATTTTGGATGTTTAATGTGAGTCTTCTGGAGCTTCTCAACAAAAGTTTTGTCATTGGCCTTTGGGAAGAGGCACTCCTCATCAAGAAGGGCAAGTACTCCCATTGGCTTCTCAATAAGGTCAATAGTTGGTTGAAGATCAAGCCCAAAATCGATAAAATCCCACTCGATTCCCTCTCTCTGATACTCCTCTTGCTCCAGGATGAACATTGTGTTGTTGAAAAGCTGTTGAAGTTTTTCATTGGTGTAATTGATGCAGAACTGTTCAAATGAGTTGGTCTGGAAGATTTCAAAACCGGCAATATCAAGAATTCCGATGAATGAAGCTCCTTGACGGTGAGTTCTGTCCAGAGACTTGTTGATTCTGTTCACGAGCCATTTGAAGAGTCTTTCATAGCAAGCTTTGGCAATAGCTTCAACAGCGAACTCAGCTTGTTCCTGGTTTTGAGCCTTATTGACAAATTCTCTTCCAACCTTGATGCGTGGCCGAAGGAATGCTTTTTGGAGTTCAATGACAGGAAGGCCAAGAAGATGACACACTTTCTGGATAACTCTATCATCTTGAAGCATGGCTTGGTCACTCTTCTTCTCTTGAGTGAATTCCAAGTTTCCAAGAAGAAGGATTGCAGAGACAACTCGAAGAATTGCTGAAAGAAAAAAATTCAAAATTGAATAGGTACAATGGAATGGTGTAGAAATTCTTACAAGAAATCTCCTCATCAGCGAATCCCATGATTTTCATGGAGTTCAGCGTGCTATGGAATTCCTGAACGTCGTCCACATTTGGTAAAGTGATTCCATGGTTCACCAAGAATCTGTAGTTGTCCACTGTCTCCAGAAGATATTCACCTGGAACATTTTTTTCTTATAATTCAAAGTCCTCCTACTTTTTTCGGGGTTTTGTATTTATAGTTGAATCACAAAAAAATGAATCACCAACCAAAAAAGGCAATGTCTACCATTGAAAGCCGTCTTTTTTGTTGAATATCCTTGGCCGCCAAGGCCCGCGCAAATCAACAACAAATAATTCAGTTTTATGACTCAACCTACTTTTCTCTTTGGCGCTGCATCCTCTGAGAATCTGGTAGAAGATGTGGAAACTGCGTTCGTCTGGCGATTGACGGAGAACTCTGGATTTTTCGAGCAAATAGAATTCGATATTGGCTCCACTGATGTATCCGCTCATATCGAAATTGATGCGAATGAATTTTCCCTGGAAATAGAAGAATGAGAAGGCGGGGGGTAGGTGAGAAACTCACGAATCTCGAAGAATTGTCATTTTTCACAGTTTTCGAGTTACCGAAAGCTTCGAGAATCGGATTCGCTTGAAGAAGTTGATTTTCCAGCTCTCCCTGAAAATAAAGCAGGTTATTTGGGGAACAAGAAGCTAGCTACTCGGTTACACATCAGTGAAAAAGGACCAGAGGCTGGATAAAAGCTTATACAACTCAGTTACAATTTAGATAGATCAAATGAGTAATTAAAGCCAATTTGTATTTTTATTTTTGCAAAGGGTTTTTTTGGTGGGTTTGTTTTGCAATTTTCAGATTTTGAGCGAATTTGACAATATTAGTGTTAACAACATTTGGGTTTGAATCAAAGCGTTTGATTCGACATATTAGAATGGTATAATGAGACATGAAGCTTTACGTAATTGATGTGTTGTGAATTTGAAACAAGTAATACAATACTGTTCAATACGATGTATAAAAATGCATTTTTCAGTTGATTTTCACTCATTTTGACCATTTTCAGAAGGCTAGAGCTTGCCTGTCAAGTTTCTAATCGAAACTCATAGTAAGTGTGAAACAGACCTATCTTAGATTTTCAGCTACTTGCTGGTTTCTAAAATACACGTTTTTAAATGTTTTCATTACAAAAATGGGTCAAAATGGGTGTCATTTAGAACTTGGCAAATATCAACAAAAAAAAAACTAGAAACTTAAAAAAAACTCTCGGAATGAAACATTTTTAACCGAAGTCTATTTTATACCTATTGTAATTTTCAAAGTGATTGGAAACTTGACAGCTCATTTCCAGACTCCTAGAAAATGCCGAAAATCAACTAAAAAATACCGTTTGTATATCTTATTGACCAGTACTTTAGAAAGGAATGAGACAAGAAACTCATCACAAAATTATACAAAAAAAAAGAATCACGACACTGTCACGACAGCAAGTCACAACAAGATCTACATGATGTAAAACTTACGATTGGGTTTCGGGTATCCGGCTAAAAATAATTTTTAGAAATAACTTCCTCATCTGAACTCAATTGTCACCTATCATTCCAATGACTCACCTTCTGAACAATATTTTGAGCAACCGCTGCACTCATGCCCTTGTTTCTCGTGGCTCCGGCGACGTGTGCAAGGTACTGAATCACTTTTTTGGTGTTCTCAGTTTTACCGGCACCAGACTCTCCGGTACACAGGATCGATTGATCTTCTCGCTCTGGAATTTGTTTTTTCTTCAAAATAACAATTTCAAATATCTTCTATTTACCTTGAAGCATACTTCTGTATGCTGTATCAGCGATGGCGAAAATGTGTGGTGGCATTTCATGTCTCTTTTTTCCTTTAAACTCCTCAATCAGGTCTTCTGAATATATCGGAAGCTTTTTGTAGGGATTGATAACGACACAGAAGAGTCCGGAATATGTCTAAAAGATTCGGGTTACTGTAGCTCAGATGCTGACAATCTTACATAAATTAAACTGCTATAATATCGTTCTTTCAGGTTATTCAAAACTGATGCTTCGTTTAGATAAGTGAGTTCGGACATATCTTCGATTTTGTCGAATTTTGGAGGATTCGCTTTCTGGACGTCATCTCTACTGATTGTGACTTGTCGTCCGGAATCGCAAAGCTCCACGAGGAACTCATCGTTGGATTCTTTCCTGGAAATTAGTTTTTGTTAGAGAAGAACATTCGAAATTGCTAACTTGATGGATCCAAAAAGGAATCCCTCGTTCTGATCGGGCACCCAACACAGTTTTCGTTGAGCCCACGCGGCAAGTGTGGCAGGATCGGCAACGGCAGCCCGTTGTACCTGCAGATACTGCAGGTCACCCATTGTTGGTTAACTTCGAAATATCTGCAAAATTGCAAATTTGGGAAATTGTTTTGAATTGGCAATATCGAAAAGAAACTGAAATAAAAAAGGAGAATGTGTATTTGGAAATGGCAAAAAAATGTTGAGAAAAAAGAGAAGGAGGTGACTGAAACGAAAAAGAACGCCGATGGGAAAATGGAAGAGTATGAGAATGCGGATGTGGATGAGTCACACGTACAATTGAAGGGCAATTTGATGAAAATTAATGTTCATAATGTTGAAAACTAGAATTTTTTTCTTTTGACTTTGAAGAACTCAAACAGGGCAAACTGTACTAGTAATTTAGCATTTCAATTTGAAATTCAAAATTATCGAAGGCTGAGAAGTACTGTATTTCATCTAATAGAAGTCCTAGCCACCCGGATCGTCAAATTTGAGCCTATGTATCTCATTTTCTGTGAAAGATATCAAACAGTTGTTCACTTATGAAATGTTGCTGATATTATGATGAACATTTTATTAGTTGACAAATTTTTGATATTTTTCGAAATAAGTGAGATATTAGACTCAAAGTGGACGGTCCGGATGGCGTTCTATTAGAGTGTTTACGGTAAGCTCTAAGTGTAGGTTGGGCTCTAACAGAGAAAATACCGTATTAATATCAAACTCACAGTTCCTTTGAAAAAATCCTTAGATTTTATCAACCAGAAACTTTTCCAGAAACCGCACGAACGACGTCGTAAAGTCTGAGAAATGAAACAATATTTTCAGAAACAAGAAACAAAGAGCATGAAAAGAGGGCGGAGATTCTGGATGGGCGGGAGGAAGGAGGCACCACGCACATACACAAAAAACAATACGTATAGAAAGCCCCCCAATGAATCATCTATACGATTCTGAGCGATTCAAATTTAATAAACATTTTCCCCCTTCCTCCTATGGCTTCTCTTCAAAATCTGTACAGTATATAGAATACGGTCCAAAACGAGATGACGAAAAAAAAATAGAGTTTCATACAAGCGTGAACAAAACACCAAACGGTCAAGCAGTGAGCGCGCTGTGCGGAGCAGCAACGACTTGTGAGAAGATTTACCATACACGGGAATAGATGCTCGTCGCAAACAACTCAAAAATCTAGACATTGTTTACATATGTCGGGGAGAGCACAGCGAGAAAAAGTTTTCGAAGCGAAATCATATTTTAGGTCTACATGACAGAAAAAGTGTCAAAATTTCTAAAAAAGTAGTGGTAACAACAGAAAGTGCTGATTGAAACAAAGAAAAAAATGCTGACTAAGATGGATTAGTGGGGGGAACAATGTGGAACGACGGAATCGAGGTCAAGGAATGTAACGGATTTGGATTTTTTCTCTTCTCCCTTCTCAATGACGACAAATTACTGGATTATAAATAAAAGTGCTGTTGGCTGTGTAAGATGATGAACAAAAGGCGGTTTTTAAGTGAGAGGGTGGAAAGTACGGGGCATAGACAAGGTGTCCAGTTGTTCTTCAGGCGGCTGTTATGTGGTACTAGACCGGGGGGAGAAAGGAGTTAAATCGCGCAAACGTCCAGGACGACGATGATGATGATGATGGTGAAAGTGAACATTCGAACAAGTAGAAGACGAAGAAGGACCCTGGTTGCGTCCATCCGTCCGCGTCGTCTTCGTCTCAGTCAGGTAGTCAAAAGAAGCGCGCGGTAGAGGTTGGTCGGAGAGAGGGGGATTCAGGCGTGTGTGTCAGGATTGGTATGGAAGAATTGATGTCCTTGATTCGGGCGCGCCAACCCCATCCCCAACCCGTCGTGTTCGATCCACAATCTTCGTCTCGCCGTCTCTAAGCACATCTGACTTTTTCACCTTTCACACACACACACACACAGAGAGAAATAGATAGAAAAAGAGAGACACAACGAAGAAGAAGAAGAAACTATTTGTCACCTATCCTCGGGTTTCGTGTTGTGTTGCGTATAGATGACCCGTATGATGCGTGTACTTTTCGGATATGGATATGCAGAACATAGAAGCGATTGCAATCGCCGAGCGTCCGACAAGACGATCGACGTCTTCAGAAATGAACAAATTCGGCAATCAGATATATAAATGAGGTGTCAAATGGTTGATAACAACGAAAGGAAGAAGGGGAGGAGGGAACTTGCGTTCGATTAAGTTTTATCGCTTGAGAACAGGCTAGTTAAAGATAGAAATTGGTTTGGGAAAGGAGGAAAAGGGACTGAAGGATCATATAATTACAGTGGATTGATAGTTCTGCTGATAGGAATTGGCGGAAATGGGAAGGCTAGAAACGAAAATCGCTAGAAAAGTCAAAAAATCTAGTGAAAATCTAGAAAAAGTGTAGCAAAAAAGGTAAAAATCATGATTCAAAATAAATTAAAGCCTGAAGTTTAGGTGAAGAATTCAATTTTTTAGGATTTACAGACTACCGTATTGGATACGATAGAAACCTACCCAACTGTCAAGTCAACCTTAAGCTCAATTATCTCGACTTGTGTGAGAGATATCAAAAATGTGTCAATCAATAAATTATTTATCATAAAATTACCAATGTTTTATCGGTTGACAGATTTCCGATATCTTCCACAGGTATTGAGATAATGGAGCTCAAAGTGAACGGTTCGAAAATACTCTAACAAAGAAAATACGACAAACTTTACAATGAACTATGAAGCCTAAATATTTTTCACAGAATGCTTCAAATCTCAAAAAAATTAGATATAGAAACTCTATGAATCATTAAAATGGAAAACTATGATTCTTCCCCGTCCCACGGTTACACTATCAGTTGGTGCTAATCGATGACTCCGCCCGCCCTGCTTATCGGCCAGAAATATTGGCATATTTTATGAGTCATCGTTAAAGTGAGAGGAAGTTACCAACAACTGACACGTTGGAACAAACCGACGACAAAAACATTTGAGGCAGAACGAAACTGACCAGAAAAAAGCGATCAATTGAACGACAGTACTCGGAAAAAGTCGAAAAGGGCGGCTAGCGGAGCGCTTCTTCTCTCCATGATGATGTTTACCCTCACGATTTATGTTATAATTCTCTTTTCAAGCCCATACCAGCCTACTATCCGACGCGGGAGACCTTCTCTCCTCTGCCTCCCACATAAGCATTGCCGAACAATCATGTCTGAACAGGATGATCAGCAGGCCCCGACACCAGAAATTATTACGCAGCTTCTTCTGACGACACAGGGCGTTTTGGGAGAAGCTCGAATTCATAAAGCATTTATATACTTTAAAATGTTCCCAGGAGATGTGATAAAATATGCAATTTATGTAAAAAATATTCAAAAGAAGAGCAAAAATTTGCTAAAATGTTTTGGTATCTCTATGTAGGTTTTACAGTATTCAACATTTACTGAATCAACAATCGGTGTGAATAGTGTCGAAATGGAATGTTTTGGGCATCAAAAACAAACAGGTGACACAGGCAACCTCCCAAAACGTATCGAACGAAATGGAAAAAAATAGATCAAAAAACTCCAAGACACCCTAGATGAGCGTTCTTCATCGAAGTACATGAAAAGAAGAGTTCGGTGAATGAATAGAAAAAGTGACAGGGGCCGAAAAGTGAATGTAAGGAAATGGTGGTTGTTGGGAGAAGAGGAAGAAATCGAAGAAGGGGAAGAAATTGGTGTGTTGCCACGCGCCGAAAGTCTAGACCACCTGGGTTTGTTGTTCGCCGACGCACTGTGTGTGTGTGATGGCGGTGGCACATCCGGAAAATGACCTTCATGAAAAAGAAGGAATGAATGGATGGAGAAAAAAGCAGGAACATTTTTCATGTCAAAAGTTGGATTTATTGACAATTTCAGAATGAAGAAACCGAAAATGAATTTTCGCATTTGTTCTTGGTTTCGTTAAAACTGGGAATCAGGAGCAATTAAACAAGAAGCAGTGGTCGAAAATAGGGAATCTGGTTATTCTATAATAGAAACAACAATTTTCAGCAAAAATAAATGAAAATTATAAAAAGTTCTGCAATTGTTGTTATTTTAACCAATCAATTTTGGAACTTATTTTTAAAATTTCAATGTCGAATTCTAGGAAAAATGTGTTTTTCTGACTTTTTTCGATTTTTCAAGTTTTTTAAAAAGGGTTTTCAAGATGGGATCTTTTTTGGATTTTCAGTTTTTCTTAGAAATGAATTAATAGAGAAAATTGAAAGAATTTAAAAGCTTGACAAAATGAAAGGTTCGAAATGCCGAAACTTTTTCCGTTTCTCGGCAATTACGGTATTTTCTCTGAAAAAAGCTCCTCCAAGTCGTCAACATTGAGCTCAATTATCTCGATTTATGTGAGAAATAGAAGAAATATGTTGATTAATAAAATGTTGTTGATAAATTAATGAATAATTTTGCAGTTAACAAGATCCTGATATCTCGCACAGAAATTGAAATGATTGAGCTCAAAATTGACAGATTGTATGAGCTTCTATGAAGGAAATACGAATAGTTGGCTTATCAGTAATAAAAAAATAAATTTCTAAGTCTAGCTTTAATTGTATATCGTTCTTATCATCTACTCAGCTCTAATTATCTATTGTAAAAGCTACTGAAATTCTCTTCTTCTTTTCTACACCCATAAAAGTTCACTAAATTCTCTTATTCTGACTAATCGCATACTGACTAATCATGAATCATAACCAAAGTCTCTCCTGTCATGGGTAAACTTGATTCTCCCTCCCTTTCTAACTCATTCATCACGTTTTGGTTCCCGTTCTGAATGTGAGGCCGTCATCTCCTCCCCTCTCATCCCCACCCATCATGAAGCATTAGTTTTGAGATAGAGGACATTTTCTCTTGATGAAGAAACGAACAGAAATGAGTGTTGGAAGAAAAAAAGAAAAGGATATTTGGAGGGAATGGATAAAGGTTTATGTTTCGTTTTCTGCAGTGGTCATCATCTCAACCACTGACAAGAACAGAAAAAATGAAAAACATACAAACCTCTCAGAGAAACGCACTGTTTGAAAATAACACTAAAACAATAAGT